GATTCCAGGCCCACCTACAAGACCATAGCCCGATTCCTTCAGAAGCCCATTGAGGAAGCCAAGCAAGCCTGGAAGGTCTACCAGCGGCTTGAGGCTCGCGCTTAGTTGACCTTGCATTATGAGAGCGGAAAAACTCTTTTAGAGTGGCAATGCATTCTGTAGACGTTGCAGATCGACGATATGGTTTGCATAGCGGACATGGTAGATTGCATGAATCTTTCCTCATTGGCTTGAATGACATGGTTGGCATCCTTTGCATTGACGACATGGATGACATGCATGACATTGATGACATTGACGGCATGGATGGCAGGCATGGATGACATCGATGGCATGGATGACATGGATGGAAGGGCTGAAGCCGCTTATCTCTCCTTGTCTTGCGGTATTGAGTGTTCAAATCATGTTGGAGCAAGATGTGCAGACATTCATAACTTGGACCCATGGAGCGCAGCCGACCTGGTTACAGTTTCACGGACCCGGTACATTGCTTGACAGACCATTTCGATTGACTGCTTCACCGCCAACCCCGCCACGGTTCCCACTACTTCTTCCGCCTCCACCTCCTCCACCACCACCACCACCACCGGTGATTCTTCACCCACAGTTTATGCCCTCATTGCGAGCTTCCTCTAGCCCTTCTCCTCGAGGACAGTCATGCCCGCCATGGGATCTCAGCTCACACGCCGCTCAGGTTGCAGCGCTGACCAATCCCGTGATGATGACGCAGTCTCACGCGTTCTCCAAAACGCTCTCGAACAGCATCCACCTCTGCCATGCGGCGTTCTCGGCGGCCCTTCACTGTGTTCCCTTCAAAACGGGCTACTCGTCCAACACGGTCCGTAACGACAAGATGCAAGCATTACTGTCATGCTTTTCTACATCATGGACGGAAATGTCTTTCTCCCTGTGTTCGTCGCCGGCCAGGGCATTACCACTGCAGGTGCGCGCGTCATCAGCGGCGGTGAATCAGTGCCGCCATACACTACAGACTTTGTTGATTCGTCCTGCCTTCCGTTTGAAAAGTTGCCTTGCATTGCACCGCTTGCAACATTCACATTGCGTTCAAGCATTCAAGTTTGTCATGGCATGACTGTTTCGCCGCAGATCCCTTGGCTTTGCGCCTCCTTGTAACAGCACTGTGACGACACATTTGGCTGTCATGTATCCGCACTATTTTGAGTACCACATCGAGAGAGGCTTGGAATGGATTCGGATTTACACACCGGGCCCGTGGCAACCTGTGGCCACAGCCACCCTGGGACGAGCCCCGGACCACACTTCCACGTATCGGGAGTGGCGCAAGTCATATCACTTCGATGTGTACTTGCCCACAGACAGCACCGGAGGCACCGCTGCGGATCCCAATGTCATGCCTCTTTCGTACGTGTCCTATCACGTGTGGGAATTCCGAGACCGGAGCACGCGAGGTTATCAACGCCTTGGCATTCCACGACCAACCATTGGATCGACGGGGCTCGTGAATGAAGAAATTGCTTCCTCGTCGGTGTCTTCAGTTCCTGATGGTGTGTGGCGGGAACCTTCCCCCCCACCGAGCTATGATCCCAATTTCGATTGGAACGAGTCGGATTGATGCTTGAACAACATGTTGGTTAAAACGCTGCGCTTGTTGTCCGATTTGCTTGCAGCTTCAACTTGGGTTGCCTTGGCTTGTGTTGTGTTTTCTCCATATCCATGCTTTCGCCATCTTTCGCCGATTCCTTTTTGCCTCAAAGCGGCTTATTCGGTTGGTATGTTCAATTCCACAATATTTGGCACTGCGAGATGGTCCCTACCACGCTACTTTGAGTACGACATCGTCAATGGCCCTGCGAACACAAGCGTTGAATGGATTCGAGTCTATGTGCCCGGTCCGTGGCAACCAGTCGCCGACTCCACCTTGGGACCGGCTCCGGATGACACATCAACCTATCGGGAATGGCGCAGGTTCAAGTGTATCGGCCTAGTGACAGCACGGGAGGCACCACTCTGGGTTCCTTTTCCCAGCCGGTCTCATATGCATCCTTTTACACATGGCAATATCGTGACTGGCTCACCAGAGGATACCAACGGCTCGGCCATCCGCGCCCGAACATTGCGCGGCCAGTTTTCCCTTCGGGATCGCCGGACCTCATGTACGCAGGATTGTCCTCTTCGTCGGCATCCTCGAACTCGGATGGTGGCTGACCGTCCTCGCCTTTCCATGATCTTCAATTTGATTGGGGCGAGTGGCCTCGACACCTGAGTCGCGTCTTGCTACAAACCGCGGTGTTCGGCGCTGCATGTGCTGTGAGTGCTGGATTGAGTGTCTTGCGTTTGCTTGGCATGTTTGTTGATACGTCGCATGAGGTGCTTGTTGTCTGCAGCCGTGTACCTCTCGATTGTGCGTCTAGGGTTTGAGTTGTCATGCCGTGGCTGGAGTGGTGCCCGGATCCTCAACAACCAGACGCTCGATGGGTCAAGATTTTTCATCCGGGATCATGGACACCACAAGATGAACGTGATGATCCACCTCCGCCTCATACATACAGGGAGTGGAAGGAGTTCTATGCCCCAAATCTTGATCAAGATGGCGGGCAGCCCACCAAGAGCATTTGGTACAAAAGGGACTGGACCACAGAGGGCTACCGGCGTGCCGCACCCCCTGAAGCTGATCACGGCTTCAATTCGATGTCTCCTCATCAACATAGCGTGGCTACGCAATCTTCGGCTTTGTGTATGACCACGCAGATGTTGAACGCGATTCTTCGATCTTCGGATGCGTCGGCCTTCTCTACGGATGATCTCACTCGTCCTCAAGCTGGGATCTGTCAGCAATTATCGGATCGCGCGCGTCAAGCGTCCTACCAGCACCAACCACCACGTGCATCTCGTGGAGTTGAACCACCTGAGTCTATTGGGGTCGTTGACCCAAATCTGCCTGCGAGCCAACCATGCAGTTCTACCAACAAGGAGAAGCCTATCTTCGAGCTAGGCGATGCATAGACTGATGCGCTTTGATCATGGCATAAAAGAGTGTTTTCTCTTGCTCTTGCTTCCATGTGTGTTTGCAGGTTGTGCATGGTTGTGCAAGGTTGTGCATGGTGACTGTTCCCTTGCTAGCTGGATCGGAACCTGCGGTACGCCCTGTCTTTCACTTCGACATGGACATAGATGATACGACTCAGACGTCGGCCCGAACTGCCGAGCAGCACCCATGGCTCGAATATTCCGTCTGGCATGATCAGGAGTGGGTGCGGATCTACACTCCAGGACAACTTCAACTGTGGCACCCCAGAAGAGGCAGTACCTGACCTACCAGACAACTCGTTTCGGGAGTGGAAACGGGTAACTGATCCAGACGATGGGACTGGTGAACCCAGTCAAGCATGGACAATTCGTGACTGGCAACATCAAGGTTACCAACGCATTCTGTCTCGCTTTGAGTCCTTCTCCACTCATCATGCTCAGGATCAACCACTTGTTGACGTGCAAAATTCGGACATCATCCGGGTCGAGGAGATGTTCACCTATGCCCCCCCTATTTCTGACGGTGATCGCTCGACTGCTTTGCAGCTTCCTCCGGTCTTCTATGGCGGCGCACGTCTTGCTCATCTTGGAGATCTTTCGTCCCCGTCTTCTGAGCGGCTTCGTGCGGAGTGTGCAGTTTCGCGCTCTCCCAGACGCAGCGGATATTTTGGTAGACGTTAGCAAGGATGAGCCGATTGTGTGATCTTCCGACGGGAACAAAAGACTTTCGCCCCTCACTGAGGGGCGTGTGTGTGTGCGGAGTGGCAGAATACCCTGTCACCACAATTGAGCGCAGGGGGACACAGCACTTCACTGGGACTGTGTCCAACGAAGCTACCAGTGAAGTGGGATATCCAGCTTGGCCAGCTGGACGTACCTGCATCGGTGATTCTGAAAGTCTATTTGGCCCCCTTGGTTGCGGCGCTGTTTGTGCTTCTTGTTCTTTCGGGTAACGTTTTCGTTTCTAGAGTGAAGCCAAGTGACCTGCCAGCCGAAACTTATCCGACTCGAGACTCATCAGTTGTACTCGAGACTCAGCAGTTGTACTCGAGACTCATCAGTCGTACTCGAAAGACTAGCACCCTCCATCTGGAGTTTAAGTGTGTGTGTGTGTGTGTTTTTTCATTTTTTGCATTTTTTCTCACGCCTTTTGCATCAGCACGGGCACCAGGGGCCAAGCGGCTCGCAAGGGGTGGGCTTTCGGAAGGAGCTCACTCAGCAGCGGGGCGTCGCTGTGGCACCACCTGACCTTCAGGCCCCACAGCCTCACGCGCAACCCACACCCACGCTCAAATCGCTGAACAATTTTTGCGCGTCGAGCGAGCAGAGCACGCCTCTACAGCCCGGCCCTTCGCTGGGAGCAATGGGCAGCGGCAGCCGCATCCGGCGGCTCAGTGGCTCGCCCACACCACAGCTGCGGGCATTGACGCGCGTGGTAGGCGGTCATCTATGGCGTTTCCCCTTGCAGGCGCTGTGCTGTGACGCCACGCGTTGACTCGCTTGGGCGCTCATCAAGGAACGTGGTAGGCGTAACGGGTGGCAAAGCGGGAAAGGGGCCCGTTTGACCTGCACCTTCTGCACCGCTTCCCACCGCCAAGGCGCGCTGCATGTTTGTTCTGCCGGTTGTTATTTTAGCCTTTTCCACGAATCAGTTCTCGTTAGCACCCTAGCTGCCAACCGAGTGCAGCAGCCAGCATTGGAGATTTGACCAAGACAGCTCATTTTTCTGCCAACCAGGGCTTGGCGCGTGAGCCAAACAAACAGCCCAGAAGCCGACGCAGCTGAGAACACCTCCAGCGGCACTGCCACCGCAAACGGTCCCTTCTTGTAGCTTTATTTAAGACAAATGCAGATAATTTTCTCTTGGCCAACATGGAAGCAGAGGTTGTGTTCTACAGACTTCAATGAGTTTGTTTTTTTCCTTTTCTTTTTTAGGTGCTCGGTAGGGTATTTCGCCTGGAATATGGACAAGGGTGCAGGCGAAAGGTTCGCGCGAAAAAACAAAGTTCATTGACTTCCCGACGCCTCCCGATGCCATGGTAGCGGGTCGTCCTGGTGCGAGAGGTGGGGGCCCACTGCGGGGGAGAACGGGCATGAGTTGAACTCCTGGAGCATCACGTGACCAAAAGCGGTGGAGAACGCCTTGTTTTGCAAAAGTCTGTTGTCCTGGTTCAATGTGGCAGGCCTTCAACCGGAAGCGAGAGGGGCGAAGATCAATCTATGCGCTGCTTGGTGCGCATGACAGGCATGTAGGAGAATCTGCAGCAAATTTGACTTTAGGTCACGGCCAATTTATCCCAAAAAAGGGGTGGGGGTTCTCCAAAGCGGCATCCTGAGATGTGCAACTTCAGGCATTGTTCGCGCACACGACGCGATTACCGCGAGTCGATTTCCGGAAGGCAAGGGCTGGATGCTTGTGGAAAGTGGGGGTGGTTCAGTAGGGGGTTGTGGGTGCACCTTGGCTCAATTTTTGAAGACGTCAGGGGCAGCAGGGTTCGATCTGTCCGTTTTGCCACATGCGGCTGTCACACATGGCCCGGACGCATGTTGTATGAACAATTTCCGCATGCCTGGTTTGTTTTCTTGGACTGGTTTGCCACCATCTGGCTGTTCATTTTTCCTGGACGCGTGCTAAAATTGTCTGACGTTTCTAGTCTGGCCCGCCCTCTCTCAAGTAAACATCGCCGTGTGAGCCCCTGAGTTTTGTTTTCTTCGGCAGGTGCCGGGGATTTGGCGTCCCGAGCGCTGAGCGCCGATGATTTGGACTGGCGCTGGCAACAGCTGCAGGCTTGGGAAACCCCGGCCCGATAGTGTGTTTCTCAAGATCGAGGAACCCAAAGTCATTCTTTTACCCTTCCCCCCCTCCCTCCCCTCCCTCCCTCCCTCCCTGCCTCCTCCCCTCCCCTCCCCTCCCCTCCCCTCCCCTCCCCTCCCCTCCCCTCCCCTTCCCCTCCCCTCCCTCCCCTCCCTGTTGTGGGAGGACAGGCGAGTTTCGGCAAATCAAGTGAGAAATTTACAAACACTAACAAAGGTTTGCATGAAGTGGGGGTGGGAAAGCGGAATCCCAGGGTAGCTTGCGCATATTGGGCTCACTTTTTCTCAAGACCTAAAAGGGCTGCGTAGCACATACGTTGACTCAAGCCCTAGTTCTTTACATGCTCTACTGGAAGCCTTTACAAGTGCAAAAGCTCATGCCAAATTCACACCCCCCTTAAAGACTAGGGGTTGGCTCAGCGGCGCTAGCCCGCACGAGCGTGAAACAGCGCAGCGGGGCTGACCGCGTGCGGCATTGTGGGCCTCATAGCCCTAGGCACTTCTTCGCGGTAAGTGCGCCAACAAGCTGGGATCTTATCTAGTCTTGCCAGCACTGGTTTCCATCGACTTGTTGGGTTCGTCGGTATGGCTTTGATTGGCATCAGCTATGCCCAAGGCGGGAAGCGCGCTCCAAACTTCCGGCCCTGCTTTCGGGTGCTTGGTGAGGAAATTGGCCGGGTTTTTCGTTCCCTTGACCTTCCGCATTTGTAGCTTGCCAGCTTGGACCGCGCCTTGAACGTAAAACTCACAAACGTCCAGGTGGCGCAACTTGGCACTCGGGCCAATCCGCTTGGCCGCAGAGATGCCTCCGCTGCTGTCTGACCATATCCGTGGGATGGCAACCTCCAGTCCGAAGTCCTCCGTGGCTAAGCCATACAGAAATATGGCTTCCCGCGCACGGCTTATACTCATCCGGGGAGGACGTTGCAGGCCAGCCAGGTTGGGTCTGCGTGGTGGCTGCCACCGCTGCCCCTCCAAGGTAGGCAATGTGGCAGTCCGTGGAACGACGGGTCTCCAAGCAGCCGGCCCAGTCTGAGTCCGAGAACACATCGAGCGCCATCTCCCCGTCATGGGCGCTTGCGTCGAGAGCGGTAACCCGCACGTAGTCTGGGTGAGACTGTAAGAATCTCCCCAGCACCACGGTGCACTCCCAATCGCACTGGCGCGGCGACGCCATGTGGCGCGCCAGCTCTTTTGTGGCAAAAGCAATTTCCCGACGGTCGGAGCTGAGGTAGATTGCCGAGCCGACCGCAGATCGGTAGCGTGCAGCCCAGATATTGTCCAAGGCATCGGTTCTGCTCAGGTCTGGCCTTCTGGATGGCACTGGTGACTTCTCGCCTGGGGAGACACTCAACATCTGTATGATGTTCCTGGCGTGTTTCGGATCAGGGCTGTGAGAATGGCATCCTTTAGCCTGGTCTTTGTTCGGCCCAGGATCTCCACTGCAATTCCTTCGCACTCCAGCGGCCAGGCCTGGAGTGGGATGATTTCGTCGATCAGACGGTTGAGCATGGCGGTGGGACCCGCGCATCTCCCGTCGTCTACGTGGTGCAGCAGAGTGATCTGTGTCTTGTCACACCTGTACACACATGGGTCGCGCCCGCCCCGCTTGAACTGGAACGCAGGCGCCAACCGCTGGCACAGGATTTCTTCAAGCTCATCGCGGTAGACTGACCCTGCAGTCCTCCTGCCGTACAGGTTGCCGTCTAGGCGGAACACAAGGTCCGCGAAATTGTCCCTCAGCCAATGCTGATCTTCGCGCGGTTGAGTGCACACCCATTCTTCAAAGATTGGGCGCCACTCCGGCGGGGCACGCTGGCCGATCAGGAAGGCTGCCACGATATCGAATGAGCGCGTAGCATAGCCATTCCGCAAAGCTGACACTTCCAGCAGCGCGTGTGACTCTGGCGTAGGCGTGGGAACGAAGACTCGCAAGTCTTGCTTGTCTGTTTCAGTGTAGCTGCGCTTCACGTCAGCGCTTGTCAGCCTGCTCTTGTGCACTCCGTCTTTGGCCTTGTCCACCCATTTGAAGTGGAACATTTTGCCCTTGGCGTGAGACCTGTGGGTTGGCACAAAGGCCTTGCGATCCCACAGTTTGCGTAGCTGTGTGAGGCGGGCTTTCCGCACTTCGCTTGGGTCAAGCAGGCCGTCCAGCCATTCACACACGCTGGCCAACCGTTGCCGGGCAAACGGGTTGCTTTCTTCCTGCGAGTCTGCCCACGCCTCGGTCTTCAGCCATACATCATGCCGTTGGATCTCTCCAACTTTTTGCTTCTTGGGCGGGTCTGCCCGCACCTGCTTGGGGGGACGAGCATGTGCTTCGTCGCTTTCACCTGGAATCCTCTTCGGCGTCGCTCCTCCCGCTCCTAGGCCGGTAGGCGAGCCATGGGCGAGCTCCACCCGGACCCACGGAACGCCGCGCTTGGCGGGGCAGCTGCCGAACTTGCTGTTGCTGGCTTGTGCTGTGGGCCCTCATCCTCCAAGGCGTCCGGCGCGTACATCGGCGCTTCTTCCTCCAATTGCTCAGCCATGGCCACTCCTTCAACCACAAGCGCTTCCTCATCGATGCGCTCAGGCATCCCATCTTCAGCCACCACTGGAGGCGGGCCTGGGACATCTTCTTCCTCACGGCTGTAAGCCTTTGGCACAGGCGGGGCCGGCAGGTACACTACCTGGGAGGTCTCCGGCGGGAGCTTGACTCTTCTTCCTCCGCGCGGCTCCCAGGGCAGCCCTGCTGCCACATTGGCTGGCTTTGCGCCATAGGCGGAAGACGGCGGACAGACCGCACTGTCAGAGCACCAGCGTCCGTGAGGATGATGTGGGAATCATCTCTTTCGAGCTTTCCAACCCACAACCCTTTTATCCATCGTCGCTGGGTCCACGCCGTTGATGATGCGGTACGGCGTTGAAAGGTCTCGCGTGCGCACTTGGTACCTAGCAGTGAGCCAGCGGCGTGCCGCACCATCCAAGGAAACACCACGTGGTTGATGTCCACAGAGCAGTTTGGGTAGCGTTTTTGGACATCCATCAGCAGTGTGCGCACCAGTCCTGCGATCTTAGCGTGTTCGCCTTCAACCGCGCCTTGACTCTGGTGCGAGTAGGGCGGCGCTTCCCGCACACTTACTCTGTCGGCACCCATCCGCTTTCGGACAGCCCGAGCCACCGCAAGAAGAGAGCGTTCTCTCTTGGTCGACTTGCAGAGTGACTCGCTTGTGGCCGAGCGTGTTGAGGTATAGTTAGCTCGATCGCGTTGAGCACGTACTGGCTCTTCTCAGTCCCTTTCCTCGGCACCTGAATGCTCAGCGGCCAGCGTGATGTCTTGTCGACCAAGGTCAACACAGTCACAAGCACCGACTCGTCCAGCACCTTGGCCTGGTTGGCTCCTCGCTGGAAGAAGGTGTAGTCCATTTGCACCGTGGTCTCTAGCACGCCATCTTCGCTGTCCGTTTTCCGCCTGTGCTGGCCACTGCGACCGGCGCCGGCCACGCAGGCCTCGCACCAGTTGCAGAAGGGGACATGCGTCAGTTCGTGGGTCTGCCGAAGGATCCCGATGAGAAAGGGCGGCGGGAACTGGCTCCGGGAGAAACTGGCTCTTCCCGCGCAGCCGCGGCCTCACCGTGTTGCACCGCCACTTCGTCGCCCTCACCAGCATCAGCCTCGCGCGCGTCGGCTTCAGCCTCGGCTTCACGCCTCGCGTGCTCGACAGCCGCCGCCTCTGGGTCATCACTCGGTGATTCTTGGTTGAGCCCTGGCCGAGCTCCTCGTAGGACATGACAAACTGACTGCCTTGCCGCTTGAAGTCCGCGCGTGTCCCGTCTGGCCACTCCAGGTAGGACTCCGGTCCAAACACCACAGTGGCGCCAGCATCGACTGCTCGGTTTACGGACAATATGTCGTCCGTTATCCCTTGTACGACCTGAAAGGCGGCTGCAGCCTTTTGCCGACTTTCCTCCCAGGAGTAGCATAGGCCATGTGCTCCCTTGGCACTTTAGCTCGGTGTCATCCACAGAGTACAAACTCGCCTTATTGGCTGGGTCCACAGGGGATTGGAACGTGTTGGGGCGGCATACTGAGACGCACACACCCGTGTCCACAAGCAGCCCGCCCCTTCTCGGCTGGTCACACGCGCTTCCAAGCTTGAGGATGTGACGCCCCTCATCGGAGATGTGCCTGACCACTGTGGGCAGTGAAGTGAAGTTGCTTCTCTGTGATGTTGAAGGCTTTGCGCTTGGAAGCCCTGAGGTTGTCGCTGAGCTGCTCGCACAAACAGGCAAACGAGGGCGGTTTCAACATGGGTGACCTCCCATGGCCGGGTTGGTTTGGTCGGATCGGGTCGGATCGGACGCGATCTGACATTTGTGAGGAGTTTTGAGGGCATTGGGTATGTCCACGATAGCGTAGATTTGTACTTTTTCTGGTTTCTCTTTGGGAAAGGGCGGTGGGGGCGTTGCTGTTTAAAACTACTTATCCGAGGCTATGCAGGGCGCCGACGTTTATGGCTCCGGATCGCACATCGCCAGGCGGAGGCAGTGCTGCGACTGCGGAGCCTCAGCGGCAACTTGGCCAAGTGGCGCCGCAACGCCGTGGCGCCCGTGGCCGTGGCACGGCGCGTGAACCGAAGCCCGAGGCAGGGTTGGGTTGGCTCGCTGGCTTCGGAGTTAGCGAAATCCGTATGGAGCTTTTTGGAGCTTGTTGCGAACCGGGGGCCACCCAGGGGTAAAATGATCATTGCGATGGATGAGAGGGTCAACAGATTCTAGATCGACATGGGAAAAGTCAAAGCATCTTTTTCATGGGCTCTACCAGGCCATGGGCTCTAGAGGTTTGGGCATCCATCGTAAGGAACTGCTAACGGAATCATGCCCACAACCCATGTTTCGGGCGCCATGGTTGTGGAAGTTGTGTTTTGGTATCCCATTTTTTGGGATGGGTTTCGTCTTGGTTCACCGATTTGTGGACACCCCAGAAGACACGACCTGACTCTGACCCTCCCCTCTGCAGGCAGAGCCGCTGGCACCAACGGCGCCGGGCCCGTGCCGCCTCTCGGGCACTCAACCGGTGGTGGCTCTTTTGCGAAAGGCGGCGGGAGCAGGCGCGCGGGTTGGATCTTTAGACTGTAACTTTTTGGATACCCCTCAGACCCCTCATATTGCCTTTCAACCTGCAAAAAGTTAGACTTTTGGCTGGAGGTTGTATGGGTTTCCCCCTCCGCTCAAAGGCGGTGCGTTGTTTGTCATGATCCAGTTCGGCTTTCTTGAAGCTTATCGATGACTGCCCACGTCCTTTGCACCGGTAGGGGGTTCTGTGCCCGGCTGTCACACGCAGGGTCTCCTTGGTCTCGTGCTGTTGAAAGACCGCGCGGTCTTGAACTCGTGGTAGAAGAGTAACTAGGCCTTTTTGCTGGCCACCAGGCTGTTTCAGAGAGTAAGAGACATGCTTGGAATCACCATGGCCCCTTTGGCTACTATGCGCGTGGCCTGCTTGAGTGTGCGCATATGTAAATTATATATATATATATATTTATATATATGTATATGTCTTTTAGTCGGCAATGTGCATCTTTTGGGATCCGTCGTCTGGACCAGAGGATTCCGAGTCGGACGCTTCCGCAGGAGACTGCCCGCAACAGAGTGAGATGCGGGGTGGTTGTCCTTGGAGGGTTTCGGCTCAGACCATGGCGACCCATGGGATTCCCTTTCCTTTGAATTGTGCCATGACGTCACAGAAAGGATCAGAAAGGGCAGGTTGAGCAAGAGCGCTGGAAAACTTGGGCTAGACCCGAATAGACCAGCGCTAAACAGGACGGCGCCCAATGCGAAGGGCCCCAAGGCCCCGCGTTGGCGCAGGCCCGTCCGTTGTGAAGATGCCGATGTGATTTCGGCATGGCTGGCCTTGTGTGCCTGGTGGCTCGGGCCCTTGGACCTTGGGCTTTGCGCCGTCAATGAGGACCCTGCATCTCAGGCCTTGTAGACCCAAGGTCTTTCTCCAGTGGTTTGGGGGGGGGGGGGTAGTAAGGCGTTGCGTAAATAAATAGGTTGCGGTAGGAGCAACCTCCCAAGTTGAAACAATGCCGATTATTTCTGGGCAAGTGTGTAAATTTGCCGTCATTTGCGGGCGTGCTTTTTTTCCTCCTGGCCAGGCAAAAATCACCGCCTCCCAGATAGCGCTGACGCAAAAGGCCGCCTGGATGAGTTATAGGATGCGAACCTCCCCCCCCCCCCGCCAAGCTCAATTGAGGGAAGCCAGGCGGGAGGCGTCAGGGGAGGTGGTTCTGGAGTTCTGTGAATGAGGTCGTGGTGTTGCAAGTTTCTCAGTTGTGGAGTTGCTGTTTATTTTCTTGCTGCCCATACAAAAGGTCTCCGCGAATGATAGCCGGCAGACAGAGTGATAAACATCGTCCGTCCGGTCAACTTTCCGGCCACTGGGCAAATGCACAGCGGGGCATAGTCCTCCAGAGGACTGGCTGAGGCTCTTTCAAAGGCTGGTTGCATGGAACCAGACAAAAGCCCGCAGCCATAAAGGCCCCCTCTCATACAGGGCTCCTTAAAAGATACATGTTGTAACCATTGAAACATTGCTTTTTCCACCAAAATAAAGGGGACCCACCATTTACAAGGCAATGTTCAGGTGTATAATGTAAGGATCCCTCTCATAGTTTGTTCTTCAGGGCAATATTCCTCCTCGGATAGGGCAAAACGTCGGCTTCGGTTCCGTTCAGGTCCGGTGCTTCAAGCGCTGGCAGCGCTTGGTTCGCAGGTTGGTGGCCTCAGCGTTTTGCTTTTCAGTCAGGATTCCAAGATCCAAATCGTAAATCCCCGTGTACCCTCCCAACTAACATGGAAGTGCACAGACACCCCTGCCAAGAGGAAAGTAGTCTTTCTACAGGGGTCTGCGCACTTCCATGTTAGTTGGTGGGAGGGTAGCGGAATCACCCCACCGGAATGGCCGGGACGCCCCAACTCGACCAATCAACATAGGATGGTTGCCACTGCCACTGCCCAGCCGCGGGGGTTGAATGATTTGCTTTCATTTTTTTCGCTTTGGTTTACGGGGAAAGACAATGACCACACCTGTTTAGCATTCACAAAAGGAAAAGGACAAGGAGCTGAAGCTTGAGAGGGCAGCAAGGGAAGAGGGTTCAACTGTTGGCTCATTCCAAGAAGCTGACCTCTGGGCAAACGAGCCACTGATGTAGGTGTCGAGATTCGTTGATGGTTGGTGAATTCGAGTAATTCACGCAGACCAATAACTCAGAACCGGTCTGTCCTGTGTACGACTGTTGTGGCAAGACTCAGTTTATGTTCAGCGTTGGCGAACCTCTCGAGAGTTTTTCATCGCAAGCAGGTAGGCGTCCGGACATCCGAAGCATCTTACCGCTTGGATGAACAAAGCAAAATGCAGGCACTGGCCGCAATAGTTCGCCTCCGTTGCCAAACCAAGCAGTTTGGTCTTGTTTTTTTTTGTTCCATGGACCGCCCGGAGGCCCTTTGCGCCGCCGGCCAGGCTGAGGGATGAATCGGTGACCTCCTGAAAACTTGGGGACCCGCTTCTCAGTCCAAGTCCCTATTTTCTAAAGTCCCGAGTTTCATGATGTCTGAGGAGCGTGTGAGTTCCTTCACCTGGTTAGCTGACAGTTGTGCGGACAATCCAAGGTGCCCGAAAACAGAGAAGGCCTGCCCCGATTTGGGCTCACGAGGCACGCCTTGCTACCCAAACAGGTCCAGCCCGGCGAGTGGTCCTTTCATGGCGTGGTTCGCGGAGACGAGGAGGCACGGGGCAAAGACACGTGCCTGCGATTGGCTTGGACTTTTTGGTGGAAATAAAGGTGTTTTCCACTAACCCCCCAAAGAGTTATTCACTTTTTGCAGGGGGGTCAACAGCAACCAAGACTGCGTCAGACGTGTTGGGTTGGGTCGGAAGAGGGAAAAAGTGGGACGACTGGGGCTCAGACAAGTCCTTAGGCTCTTTGGCAGGGTCCGGGTAACTTCATTTCCAGCAGTCAAGCCAGAAAGCCACCGGAGGGAACGGGGAATTGTTGGAAAAGCTGTGAGGGCATCAACCCTCATGATGTATTGAAGGGGGGCATGTTGCTTGTGAGACTACGTGCTTGCCATGGATGCCTTGCGCGTGAAACCCCCTTTGAGCGGTTTTTTTCATCAAAGCTTGAAGCATGCGAGTGTGACGCAAAGACGTGCAAACATGTACAAGGGAGTCCCATTGCACTTTGGTTGGGAACAAACACATTGATTCTGCTGAAAACTCGACACAAGAGTGGGCCTGAAAAGGGGTTCGTTTCGTGCCGCACTTTGGGTTAGAAAGTGCCCCTGTCATTTTCACAGATGCCAAAGTTCAAAAGGAGGTGTCCCTTAGCTTTTCCGGGTCAAGAAGCCCCCCCCAGTTGGGCCCCTGTTTTGTTTTTGCTTGGTCTACGTCGGCTCGTTTGAGGGCAGCTTTAACGGGGTTCTTTTCGCGAGCTGACCTAAAGGAGTTGGCCACAACCTAAAGCCAGAAAGGAGCGCTCGGCAGCGGCATGCCCTGCGGCGTTGCTTTGACGTGGAGGCAGGGAATGGCTGGGGGGTTCGCCGCTTGCGGGCGTTTTTGCAGCAACATGGTCTCTCCTTTGAAATGGTGGTCTTGATTTTGGTGTTCTTTGAGACCAGCCAAAAACCAGCAAAACAAAAACATACTGTACTCAAATAGGTGAATTGGCTGAGTTTCGGGGGATCGCAGACAGGAAATGGATGGCTCGGGTTCCGGTCGAAGGAGCCCCATTGAAAGGCACCCTTTGTTTGAATGGGGTGTGAAGCCAGAGGGCTTTTTCCCGAGAAAGGCAGGTCAGACTTTTCGGGCCGAAGCATTGAACCGAGGGGGTTCGCGCGTGAAAGGACCATGGAGGTCATGCGTGGAATACGCACGTTTCTATCCAAAGCATCGGGAGGCCAGAACTGACTGTTTCTAGGTTGATTCATAGCGGGGCGCCCCATTTTGAGGTAATTCCTCAATTTTCAGGGATCCCACAAAAACCGCCAGGCGTGTTTGTGGGTCAACGCCCAGAATCTAGATGGCGCATTTTTTCGGACAAGGGACCGGATGAAGCCGCGCATCTACTTGCTCGCCTCTGCAACTTAGGTTTCCCACTTCTCCGCCTCCCCACTGTAGAGTTTAACCCTCTCTGGGTTGTGCGCTTCCATGTTTGTTGGGAGGGTACCATGCACCAATTTGTGCCCCGGCTAAACGAACTGGAAAGATTGAATCCCACTGACCAAGCCTACTATTAGTGGCTTAATGCGAACCCCAGATAGAGAAACCCCTGGTTGATTTTGAGAGATGGTGGTGTCCTTTTTGGGCACATACTGTGTGAGAACTCGCTGCCTCTCCAACGTCCATGGAAAAAGCGCCTTTTGTTTGCCACTGAAATGGTCCAAACCCAAAAAGTGACTACAGGGATTGAGCTAATTGTCGACCCAGGTTTCTCTTTGTCAACCAACCCGGGTCAACTGACCACTGAAGCCAAAAGCCTCACTTGCCCAAAGCGAATCGACCTCTTCCCTGATTTGGTCCATTTTAGTCAAGGTTTCCAAATGTTAACCTTTAATTCCCAGGGGAAATGAATCGATCTTCCTTGTGGGTCCTTTGGGCAGCTGAGTGGCTGTTTGTTGGGGCTTCGGTTCAGGCCTCCCTGCTGCTGGCTGCGCTGGGCGGGTGGCGGGCAGGGGCTTCCAGGCAGCGCGCGCTCCGCGCGCGGGCGGAGGCGTTAGAGGGGGGAGGGGGAGGGGGAGAAGAAGAGAAGACAGGCCAAAGAGCGGGGATGGGGATGGCAAAAGGGCGGGGATGGGGCTTTTCGTTTTTTTTTTGGTTGGTTTTGAGGGGAGGGGAGGGGACAAGATCAGGGATAGGCTGGGGTTCCACACCCCCCGGTCAAATGGATTCCTTCCCAAGCAAAAGACGGGGCCGGCAACAATGGCCTGAGGGTGGAGTTCCACCCCGTTGCGTCCATCCCATGGCAATTGTTGTTCCTTACCAGAGGGCCTAGCAAATAGAACTAGGACACCAGCAGCCCTCGCCCTTCAGGAATTGAGGGGGAGCTCCCCGCGACGTAACCTTTGGATCAGCACCAACCTGGAGAGCGTACAGTCGTAGAGGAGTAAGACCAGAAAGGTTCCTGCAGGAGCCATGGCCATTATGAACATGAGGAGCGAAGCACAAGTTTTCCCCAGGTGGAGAGTGACAACTTTTTGGGTTTGGACCTCTTTGGTGGCATTTTTTTTCTCCGAGGGTACCTCTTTTTTTTGGTGGTGTGTAAAGGCTAACAGGAAACCACAATTTTCTTCGGGGTCCCCCCCCCAAAAAAAAAGAAAGAAAGAAAGAGGCAGGCCGAAATATACGCAGTTTGGTTCCTTTCTTTGGCCAATCGCACGCAGCAAGGCTTTGGTGCATTTTGCTTGGATGTTAGGACTTGAACTTCTCGCCAACTCACGGGTTTTCCATTAAATCACTAACTAAACTTTAGCAGGGGAGCAGAAAGCAAACGAGAAGGATTCTGACTCACAACGCGGCAGGAGCTTCGCTCGCTCTCAAGAGCAAAGCGCCAGCAGCGGGCGGTGGCTGCCTGGGCGCGGGCGCAGAAGGCAAGGGGGGATGGATGGGTCCATACAGCTGTGGTGGGTCAAAACCGTTTTGGGATCCCATTTTGGGGTAGGTGAATTCACCACCCATTTTAGAACCAATTTTAGTGGGAATTGAGATGTTCACTGGGAATACGATTGGGATTTTGACCCATGCCCATATGGGTATGTGATGGTTACGATTTTGGGTACCCCTGATATGGGAGTTTCCATTAGTAGGGAAGCACCTCAAACAAAACATGCCATTTTGGGTTAGCGATCCCTGTCTGAGGGGTTGGCAAGGGGGTCACTTGGGAGTCAAGTGGCGGTTACTCAGCACATAGCTAACTTCTAGACCATCTGAAGGTTCCAGTTTCCTTTTCTACAGTTCCCATCGCTTCCCTTGAGCCCTAAAAAGAAGCCCAAGTGATATACCCAACAGCCCCCGAAATCCCTCAAACCCTCCAGAAGCCGGACTCCTCCCTGAAAGCTGCGCCCCAAAACATTCCAGGGCCTATCTGCGCAGAGACCGGAGAGACCACATAGCTTTCAGCTGGGGGACAGTGCTGGCTTTGTCGATGCGAACCATGGCCTGGAATTCCACTCAAGCCGCAGGTGCGGCTTCTCCACGTGGCGGCAGTGGCATTGTCAGGACAGCGGCTCGTTGGATGTTTGTCGGGTGGAGCGGTGGGCGCAGCGTGAATCCCGTGTCTCAGGTTCGCTCTTCGAGTCTGGGCTTGCCAAACGTCCCAACTTGCAGAGTGTTGAGCCTCTGAAGAACTCAGGGATCACGGTCATAGAGCCCCGAGCGAAACTCCCGAACAAAAGGGCAAATCACTGACTAGCAATGTCAAAATTTCCCACATGGACAAAAAAGAGCTTTTGATTCGGATTGGGGGGTCTCCAGCCGTTTTTCGGCTCCGGATATCCACCTTTTGCGTGGCACCTGGGACCTCACGGGCTTCGGATCCGCGGCTCCGCCCGAGGTTTCTGCAGGCGGAGGTCCTAGCGGCGTGGCGCCTGGCGGCTGAGGAGTGGCCCCTTTGGGGATTTCAGACCACTTTTGGAGGGAACACCCCCCTAATGGGACGGGTTTATTACTCCTGGGTCAACATTAGCGGCGGTTTTTTTTTTATATGGGAAGCGAAGAGGAATATCTGCATCAATTGTTGGAGTCCCAGCCCTTATTTTTGACACATACTCCGTGTAAAGGCTAGAGGTTTTCCGGAAGCAGGCCCTACCGCCAGATTCGGGACCCGAAGAGATCTGGGTTCCGTGAAGGATTCCTGACGGCTGTCTAAGAACAGATCCCCCCTTTGAAGCAAGGTGGGTTATTGGTGGAGCCCCGTATCCATGTGCCCATTTGACATGGAATGGTCCGTTCTGGTTATCCACCACACAAGGGAGGGCTCTCGCGCTCTCAGATACAACGCAGTGAAAACATTCCCTGGCCAGGCGGACACCACCACGCGACTAGAAATGTGATAGAACCCATTAAGGTTCACCAAATGCGAGAACTCGGGCCATTCCTAGTTGGCATGCCCATCGGGCGACGCGACGCGGTCAGGAGGCGGAGCATGCCGCCCAGTGCGGGTGGGCGCAGCGGGCTCAGCGCCGCGCAGTGTCCAGATGGCGCCCTGGCATGGCAGGTCGGGATGGAGGTCGCCGCGTCGCCCTTCTTGAAAAGGGCCCCAAAAGGCAAACCACGATTTGGTGGGTTTCCTCATATTTTGACGCAACTGAATTTTTTGGGGCGAAATCGGTAAGGCCCTGGTATTGATTAAGGGGAACCAGGAGGACTTTTGATCAGGCGTTGGGTTTTGGGGTCACGTCATAGGTGCAAAGTAGTCATGGAGGTGGCCCATTCCGGCATGGAGGTGGCCTATTTCGCGCAAGTATGCGAACATTGTGTTTGGTTCAACTTTCCTTCTTGATTCTCTAGGCTTCCCTAGCGGCCTGCACTGATTGTTTCTTCAGGATGTGTTCAATTTGACATGAAACGGACATCATTGTCACGTGAGTTCTTGGGCTGGCTCGGAGAACCGTAAGCTGGATGCGAGTGCACAGCGTCCTTGTGACAGTGATTTGCCCCCAGCCCATTTTTCCATTTGTGGCAGTTTTCTTTTGGGGGTGAGGAATGCCAAACATGAGGTGATCGTATCTGCCATATTTTGTTTCCCCGTTTCCGGGGGGGGGGGGGGAGTGTGGGACAGTTCCTTTTTTGGAGGAGTTGTCCATTGCCAAGAACGGGGTGATGGGGTTGCCAGCGGAATAACGCTGACCCCGTGTTCATAAACCCCTGTTTATCAGTAGGTGTCCCGGGGTTTTGTGGGGAGACCTCTGACTTTTGGGGCCCCGGGGCCCCCACCCCATATAGATACACTGGGGTTGCTTCACAGGGCTCCTTGAAAGATACATTTTGCCCATTTGAGACATGGCTTTTTCCAGCAAAATAAAGGGACACCACAATTTACAAGGCAATTTTCAGGTGTATAATGTAAGGATCATTGTTGGAGGACGTGGGGCCGCTCCTCACGCGGACGTTTCTTGGATCGGGTCGGATCGAGGTGGGCTGCGTCCCTTGGTTCTCGGCCGCTGCGGGGGCGGGTCTGTCCCATGCTCCATGCGCTGGCCGGGTGTGGCCGATGTTTCGGCTGGAGGATTTTTTGTGGCGGGGGAGGGGTGGTGGTGAGGATTGGATGTTTGCATTTTTTTTTGCAAGCCAGACTTTTTTTCGGGGAGCTATGTAAAAAAGGAGGTTGTTTGGAAACAGGTGTCAAGACATGTCCGAAAAAGGCTTGGCCCATCGACTTGTGCTGGCGCACATTGCCTCAGGGCCGGATGCATTTTTGGCTTGGTTTTCTTCACCTTGACCTGTTCCCTTGGGCTCTGCCATCCAATTTCCGGCCCGAGGCCTCGGGCCTCGACCCCAAAAAGATGAAACTCGGGAGAGCAGAACGTGCTCACCTGAAACCTTGCAACGAGGTTCCCACGTCCAAGCAACTTCGCGGTGTGTCTTTTTTTTGCGAGACTGCTTTTGCCGGGGTTGTTTTCTTCATTTAAGCCAAAGGGAAAACCACTTGGGGATGTTTTCACCAAAAAGACACCCATTTTCTCGGAAAAGCCCCAGGGAAAGCCACTTCTCTTTGCGACTTTTTCACACAAGACACACCAATTTTCAGGGAAGCCAAAGGGAAGGCCACCTTTGCAACAAGAAGCGGCCCATTTCCTCTAAGAAAAAAAGAAGAGGAACAAAAAACGTGAAGGCCCGTGCAGGCCCGCGCCAGCCAACTGGCGCAGCGCCGCAGCTTGCGGCGCGCCGTGCGCCTCTGGCGGCGCTTCGGGGAGCGCAGATGTCTGTGGCAGGCGCTGCGGGCATGGCGCGCCTGCGCAGGACGGGCGTTTTTTTTTTTTTTTTTTTTGGGGGGGCGGAGCTGGGGGAACTTTTCCCACTTTTTTTTTGGTTTTTCAACATTTTGTTTTATTTTTTTTTGTGTGGGGGGGGGGTTCATGTGTGCTGTTCCACATAGCGCACTCCGTTCGTTTTGGCTCAAGAAAAGGAGCGCTGCATGCCGCCGCGCCAGTTTGCCGGTCATATTAGATTTTCATGGTAGCGGAGCTGCTGATTACTTCAGTGGCCTGGGTCATTGGGTTCATCACTGCGCTGGGGTGGCCACTGCTTGTCCTGTTGGCAGTATCGGCTGTTTCGGCCGGTACGGTCATAGGCAGACAGTGGGTCCACCGGGCTGCGCGCGAGAGGCGCATCGGGCGCTGGGCCCGCCTGATCGTGAAGGTCAGGACCATCAGGAGGAGGCAGAGGCAGTTTGCCTACCTTGCCCACTTCCTTAACTCGTTGAGTGGAAGCGTGACGAAGAGGATCAAGAAGCTATGGCCCAAGATGGATTGAATTTGGACGCACTGGCTGATGAGATGCGGCGGATGTCGCAGGCGCTACAGCAGAGCCAGGAGCAGAACGCTCTTTTGCAGACCCAGATGAATTCGCTGGCTCAACAACAGCAGCAACAGAGAGCCGCTGGTACCGGCGCTCAGCCGAATGTGACGATGCAGGACCTCGGTCAGATCTTCGCAAGCATCACCCAAAGCCAACGGGATCTTGCTGACGCTATGAGGTCCCAACATGAGCAAAAGTTCGCCCTAATCGACACGAAGGGTCTTGCAAAACCTGACAGATTCAATGGCGCGGAGGAGAACTTCCTATACTGGCGGGTTCGGCTTGAAAGTTTCATCGTGGCCTCCATGCCGGACCTTGAGGAGGTCTTAGAGTGGTCAGAGGAACATGAGGATGAGATCACTAAGGCGGCGATCAAGGCGGCATGGGGCTCCACGAATCCCACGCACAAGGAGGTGAGGGACATCGAGCAGGTGGACGCGCAGCTGTATGCGCTGCTGCAGACGCTCTGTGAGCGTGAGGCCTTCACTATAGTGAGGAGTGCGGGGAAGAACGATGGCCTGGAGTCGTGGAGGCGGCTGGTCAAGCGCTTCGACCCGTACTGGAGGCCGGAGGCGTGCAATGTTGCGCCACATCCTGAACCCCGCCAAGGTCAACAAGGTTGAGGAGCTCTCCGCAACGGTTGAATCCTGGGAGGAAATGGTGAGACAGTACGAGTCGAGGCGGAAGACCGACGGCTCGCAGCATCAGCTTGACGAGGAGATCAAGATCGCCATCCTCGAGCACATCTGCCCCGCAGAGATAGAGCACCGTCTCCAGTTGAACCGGCAGCGCTATGCGGGCTATACAGATGTCCGCAACGAGCTGGTGATGTACCTGGAGACTCGTCTTGGGACCCGCATTAAGAACTTCTCGCTATCTGTAGGTGCGGATGATGGTGCGGCTCTCATGGGCATCGGCGGCTTCGGCAAGGGCGGAAAAGGTAATGGAAAAGGCCGAGGTGGAAAAGGCGGCAAAGGCAAGAAGGGCAAAGATGGCAAGGGGAAGTCGAATGCGGCGAAGCCCACATGCCACAACTGCGGCAATGCGGCAAGCCTGGACATTACATCAAGGACTGCTGGAGCGCTGGAGGAGGAGCAGCCAACAAGGGCCAACAACCCAAGAAGTCCTACGGCAAGGACGGCTATGGCAAAGGCGGCAAAGGCAGCAAAGGTAAGAAAGGAAAGAAGGGACAAGGCTCCAAGAATGGTGTCAACAGCTTTGAGGAGGCCGATGACGACGGCTACCACTACGAGGAAGGACAAGTACAGCCTGAAGCTGAGGCGCATGACACGGGCAACCTGTCCATTGCTGGATTGGACAATGTGAGCCTGTCGGAGGACGAATCGGACGAGGCCGAGAACGATGGGGAATATCCCTGCCTGGACCCATGCGAGCAATGCTATATGAATGGGTGTGCATCGGCGATAACCAAGCCCGATGGAGAACACGAAGGGCCACATATGTGCGCTCAGTGTGTTGAGGACGAGTCCAACGATCGTGGTGAGCTGAGTGAGAACAAATGGATACATGAATACCAATTCGAGTACGTGGTCGACCGCACAGTTTGCTTTCATTCCAAGGTGGATCCCAGCCAATTCTACGAGCGGTCAGATCTGGAGAAGGGTTCAATGCGAAAGTACGTGGATCCGACCGGATCTCTGAGGTTGCAGAATGATCAGATTGTCAAAGACGTGGCCGCGTGGAGAGGCAGGCAGGCAATAACCTTCCTGGAAGGCGCGCTCGCAGCAAGAGACCAAGAAGGAGCGAGTCGGACCTCTGGTCCGGCCGTCTCCACGTCGGAACCTGCGGATGAGCAAGCCAGCAGTTCTTCCGCTCTGCCAGCTAGGCCACTTGGTACATCGTCCGGATTGATTGTGCACCGGACCATCGAGATGATGGAGATCGCCAACCTCGATGTGGAGATCCGAGACAAGGCGGCAGAAATTGAGGACGCAGAGGACGAGGAGACCGTGGCGAGACTCACAGCCGAGGTTGAGCAGCTCAAGGACCGCAAGGAGAAGTTGAAGGAAAGAGCCAGAGAGGAAGACCGAAAGGCCAAGGCCATCAAGAAGGCCGGACAATTCAAGCTCACAAGCGAGAACGTGCCCTCGCAGGAGTGGCATGATAGCCGCTACTACGCGGCGAGGAAAGCTGGTATAAGCCACTCCGCGGCATGGGCGCAGGAGAAGAAGCGAAGGCGGGCGACCTTGAGCAGACAACAGGGAGCAGGAAACAGAGCCAGGGAAAGGATCAAGTTGGACAAGAAATGGCACCAATCCTTTGACTCTGGCCAGGTGAAAGATGATCCTTGAGGGTGTCGAAACGGAAGCTGTGGAAGACATCGGCGGCGGAAAGGTGCGCATCCTGACGGGCGACGCACGAGTCGCCAAGAAGAGTCAGCTGAAGCAAGTGGATCAGACCAAGTTCGTGCAGGCGGCAAGAAGGTACCGGAGTTTGACGCAAGCCGAGGTGTCAAGATTTAAGGCAGAGACGAAAGAAGATGAGGTGAAGGTCATGGAGAAGAAGCGGGTGAATCTGTTCGCCAAAGAGGCTGAGGCGTATGACGCCTCAGAAGAAGCTGGAGAGGAAGCAGCGAGTAGCGGCTGCGAAGAAAAGGAGAACTGTCTGCAGGAGCATGGTTTGGCATGGAGGATGCAAAGATGGAGACAGGTGCAAGTTCGATCATGACGTGGCCATTTACGAGAAGGCCAACCTGTGCCCGCAGTTCCTACACGGGCATTGCAGGCGGCTGACGAAGTGCAAGATGAATCACGATGCGGTGGAGCGAGAAATCTGCCGAGTCTTGAAGAGACAGAAGAAAGTGAAGAAGAAGAAGAGCGAGGTGCAGACGGACCAGAGAAGGGCGAGTCGGACCTCTGGTCCGACCGACCCCGATTCTGGCAGCTCTGCAATGGAGCAGGAGAATGTGAAAAGTACGGTGAGGTTGGTCGAGGCCAAGGATGTGAAGGACCTCTCGTCGCTCGAGGTGCCCAGGCGGAGCAAGGTGAATGGGTCTCCGTGAATTTCGACACCGGAGCGGCTGTCACGGCAATTCCAAAGAGGCTGAGCAGTCACTTGAACTCCAGCAGCTACAGGACGGCCAGTGGTGAGTTGCTTCCAGACGAAGGCGGTGCAGTCATGCGTGGATACACTAATGACTGGTGCGGACGAAGCATAGAGGGCCGCTTGGTGGATGTCCATCGACTGCTGGGGTTGCGAAGAAGAATGTGGTGATCCTGGATGGCAACGAAGGTTGGATCATCCCCCGGGACAGCAAGATCGGCAAAGGGGTCCGTGCAGCCCGCGACGACCTTATCAATCAGAACTACAAGGAGGCGAAGATGGTCACGAAGATGTGCGAGAAGAAAGGCATCCTCTTCGACCTGTGGATGGACAAGCGCACCAAGATGGACGGCGTAGATGCCAAGGAGCTCGGAGCAGTGCAAGGAGGGAGCCAGTCGCCGGGTTTCAGGCGGCAAGCTCAGAAGCAGCCGTAAGTCCGGAAGGTGAAGAGTCTGCTGAGGGTGAAGGTGGTCGGAAGCCGAAGTTGTTGCGATCGCCGGTCACCCCGACAGCAGACGAGATTGAGCAGCACGAAGCGCAGGCGCACACCGTCCATAGGACCTGGTGTGGTCACTGCATGCGTGCTCGCGGACTACATGAACGACATGCTTCAGAAGATCAGAAAGGAAAGGATGAGAGAGGATTGCCGATCGTCTCCATGGATTACTTCTGGATGGGCAAGGACTCTAAGAACAGAGACGCGCCAGATCCGGAGGGTGAGTTGCCGTTTCTGCAGATCAAGGATGAGCACACAGGCTTTGTGTGGGCCAGTGTGGTGCCGGCGAAGGGGGTAGACCTCTATGCCGTCAACTTTGCCATCCAGAGCCTCGAGGAGAGCGGCTACCGGAGGATCGTGCTCAAATCGGATAGTGAATCGTCGATCAAAGCTCTGAAGAGTGCGATCAAAGAGGGAATCAAGAGCGTCGAGATCGTGATGGAAGAAGGTAAGACAGGTGACTCGCAGTCGAACGGAAGCTGCGAGGTGGCGGTCAGGGAGACCAAGAGGCAGGTCAGGGCGATGAAGAGCGCCCTGGAAGAGAAGATGGGTCTGAAGATCCATTCGAGGCACCCGATCCTTGCATGGGTTGGGCGCCACGCGTGCTTCATGTTGTCACGGTTCCGTGTTGGAGCCGACGGCAGAACCGCCAATGAGAGATCGCGCGGAAGGAGCTGGAAAAGACCCTCAGTGACCTTTGGAGAGAGAGTGTGGTTTAAGCCTCTAAAGAGCTACGTGCAGGGGGCCTTCGACACCATGCGTGAGGGCCTATTTCTGGGGGCCCATGGGCAATGGCGATGCGCTCATCATGACCGAAGAGGGCGTGATCAAGGGCGGAAGTGTGAAGAGAGTCCCCGAGGAAAAGAGATGGAGTAAAGAGGGGTTCGACAAGATGTGCGGCGCACCATGGAAGATGAGACCAAAGAAGCCTGAAGACCTGGACGCGCCCGTGGCCGTTGCTCTTCCGGCGGTCCCTGATGGAGTTCGTTTGATGCCTGAGCCCTCCGACAAGGGATCAGGTCAAGTGAGGAATCTGTACGTCAAGAAGGCCGATGTGGAGGGAAACTTCACTCCCGGCTGTGATGGCTGCAATGCCATCATTGTGGGACTCCCGGCAAGGTCCCACAATGTGGAATGCAGAACGCTGGTTGAGCAAAGGCTCATGGAGACTGAGGAGGGGCGCGATAGAGTCATGAGGGCAAGGAAGAGAAAGGCAGATGCCGCTGGAAAGGAGGATAAGTGAGGAGACGCGGTGGTCCCCGCCATAGAAGACGTGCCGACATGGAAGAGGAGGTTGCAGCTTCTGCGGCCGTCGGTCAGCCTGAGGCCCAAGTCGACCCTTTGGGTCGGCCGGCGCCAGAAAGGCGACCGATGGAAGATCCAGCGGAAGGCAGCCCTTCGCAGAAAAGAGCCAAGTCCCCCGAAAGAAGGGGACGGAAGAGAGAAGGGGCTGCAGCCATGGAATCGGCCATGCAGGAAGAAAGACAAGAGGCCGGAGCTTCGAGCTCTGGGAACGCATGTGGAGGAGCACAGTCCTCCGCGGGAGCTGATCCCGCTACTGCAAAGCATTCTGGAGAAAGTGTGCAGTGAAGTGCTGCTCGGGCTGGACAAGACGTCTGTGCCTGAGACAGTACGGGAGATGAACCAGCTGTACAAGTCGCTGGGAATGAGTGGCGTTGACGTGGCTGAGATTTACAACCCGGAGAGGTTCACGTCGAAAGCCAACGCGTTCGGTCTGCAGCCAGGGTTCGCGATCGACCTGCCGCTGCAGAAGGATGACAAAGGCAACCATTGGGACCTGTCGAAGACCGAGCATCAAAAAAACTCAAAGAGCTGTTGTGGAAGGAGAAGCCCGCGTTCTTGATCGGGTCGCCACCTTGTGGGCCTTTCAGCCCACTGCAGAATCTGAGCAGTCACAGGCGCACTGCTGCCCAGAACGAAGCCATTTTGGCGGAGGGCAGGTTGCACCTTCACGTGGCGGTTGAGGCGTGCATGGAGCAACACCGGAACGGCCAATACTTCCTTCACGAGCGCCCGAAGCCCTCTAGAAGTTGGAGAGGGCCATGCATCGAAAGGCTACAAGCCATGGACGGCGTCTACACGGTGCAGGCTCCGATGTGCAAGTGGCACATGAAGGCTGAAGATGGGCAAGGAGTTGGATTTGTGCGGAAAGAAACGTGCTACGTCACCAACTCCGCCGAAATGGCTAAGGCACTTGAAGGGCAATGGGCGTGCTCGTGAGGCACAAGTTTACCCGCCAAAGCTGGTGAATGCGATTTTTTGAAAGGAATCAAGAAGGAGCTCATGAACAAGGGCGAGATCAGTGAATTGTCTTCGATCACTGCAGGTCCGTCGCCTGACGAGACAAGCAGTGAGCCCACGGAACATTTCTTCAACCCCGACGTCAAGACAGAAGGCGTCTTCTTCGACTCCGTAACCGGCACGCCTTTGAAGACCGACAAGGTTTGGGAGGCGAGACGCGAGGAGATGACATGGGTGAAGAAGCAAGACCTGTACGAAGTGGTGGATGAGCAGGTCTGCTGGGATGAGACTGGTCGAGGCCCGATCGGCCTGAAGTGGGTTGATCGAAATAAAGGAGACGCCCTGAATGAGAACTACAGGAGCAGGTTGGTGGTGAGAGAGATAAAGCGAGCTTCGGTCCCCTTGGCGGCGTTCGAATCTTTCTCGGCGATGCCACCGTTGGAGGCACTCAAGGTCCTGTGCTCACTTCTTGTCAGCAAGAAGGTGAGCAAGTCGGGGCAGCCTTTGAAGTTGCGGCTGATTGACATCAGCAGAGCGCACTTCTATGGACAGGCTCGCCGACGGGTGTTTTGCAACTTGCCAGAAGGAGAGGAGATCGCTGGCAAGTGCGCGCTCCTGAAGCGCAGCATGTACGGCACCCTGGACGCCGCTTCAACATGGCAGCAGACGTATGCTGATGTTCTGAAGAAGAACAACATCAAGCAGTGTGTTGCTTGGCCTGCGCTGTTCTACCAGGAGGATAGCGACCTGAGGTTCATGGTGCACGGAGACGATTTCATCTCCCTGGGCGACGACTCCGCTCAAAGCTTTCTTGAGAAGGTCCTGAGCGAGAAGTTCGAGTACCGGTGGATGGCCAGATCGGCCCCAGATGGCACAGCTATGTGTGTTCTCAACTGCGTGCTGGAGGTCAACAAGGACACCGGCGTCCTCACTTATGAGGCGGACCCACGGCACGCTGAACACATCATCCGTGGCCTACTTGAGTATGGACCGCGCTGACCTCAGCGAGGCGGTCAAATCCCTGGCAAGGCACATGAAGTCGCCTACTTCATACTCCTGGGGGAGACTCAAGCGGCTCGGGCGCTATCTCGTTGGGGTTCCTCGAGTGCAGCAGCTGTTCAAGCCACAGCAGATGTTCACCAGCATCCGTGTCTACTGCGACAGCGATCATGCAGGCGACCTCAAGAGTCGCAAGAGCACTACGGGGCTCATCTGCATGCGGTGAGTTTGAGCTCGGGTGAGAGCGAGTTCTACGCTCCGGTGAAAGCCGGGGCAATGGGGCTCGGCTTACAGGCCATGCTGGATGAGTGGCAGATCCCCACCAGGATCGTGTTGCTTTCTGACATCTCCGCAGCAAGGGGAATGGCTTCACGGCGTGGCTTGGGTAAAACCCGTCACGTCCAGACCAGATACCTGTGGATACAGGAGCGAGTACAGAACAGAGATGTAGAGGTGCAGGCAGTCGGCGCAGATCGCAACCTTGCAAATTTGTGCACAAAGCCTCTGCCCGCAGACGTGTGTCGCAGACACATGGACACTATGGGCCAGGTCATCACCGCCGGCCGCAGTCTGACTGCAAAGCAGTTGGTTTAAGCTGCGCATCAAGGCGATGCTGGCTTAGGAGGGGTGTTCATGTGTGCTGTTCCACATAGCGCACTCCGTTCGTTTTGGCTCAAGAAAGGGAGCGCTGCATGCCGCCGCGCCAGTTTGCCGGTCATATTAGATTTTCAGGGGGGCGGAGCTGGGGGGTTGATGCAGTTGGACCATGGGGAACTTCTCCCATGGACATATAAGTGTTTTTTTTGGGGGGTTGGTTTTTCAACCAAAGGTCCTTTTTTGATCCCCCCTTCCAGGTGGGAAAATGAAGTTTGGTGGTAAACTGTTTTTGCCCCTGATTTCGTTTTGGGATCTGAGCTAAAAGGTGGGTTTCCTTCAGACTTGAAGCGATTTGCAAGGAGGTACCCCCAACAAAAAAGCACAAACCCAGCACTAGTTTCCACCCCCCCAACCACTTGTACCCCCATGTGTACATTCAACATCCACCAGGCGGAAACTCTAAAAGCCAAGGGAGCAGCCAGCCTACTACAGAGTAATATGTCAGGGTGATTCCTCCTTCTTTTTCACCATTTTTCAGAAGACGTCCCTCCCTTCCGCGTCAGAAGGCGGTGTTCTGCCAAAGATTTGGATCCAAAGGTATGCCATTGGCAACCTGGCAACTCCTTTTCTATGGGCATGCTATGGGCATGGGAAGAATTTGACCAGCTCACCCATGAAGGGTTCCTTTTCCATTTTGTGACTTATGAAAACCCTTGCTGAGATTCCTTTGCTGGTGCAGATCTCGTTTACCCCCGAGTGCCAAATTTTGGCATGTCTTGCCTAAAGGGAAAGGCCTCATGTTCGAGGCAATCGCGGCAATCGGCCCATCTTTGCAGGCCCATTGGAGCCATCGGCCATCGGATCACAGAATGTCCAAAGTTCGAAGCCTGAAGTGCCAGACATATGGGTCAAAATTAGACCAGGAAAACCGCAGATTTTAGCGCTTGGTTCCATCTAGGGTTCCATCTTGGGGCTTTTGGGTTCCAATTTTTGATTCCCAGCCACATGTCGCCTTCTTACTCCCGGTGCTAGGCGTCCAGGCGCGCCTGCGGGAGCTGGATTTGGGCCTCGGCGCGGCGCGCCAGGCGCGCACAGCGCGCCACAGCTTCGAGCTCTGGCGCTGCTTCTGGGAGCGGAGCTCAGAAACCGTGGGGGGCCGGGGTGGGGCGGGGTGGGGCGGGGTGGGGTGGGGGGGGGGCGGGGGGCGGGGGTTTTGGCAAGAAGCTGTGCGTGAAAACTCATAAACCGTGTGGGGAGGTTGTTTCTTTCAGATGTGGGGGTTGGGCGAAATGCTGGCCTCTGGCGAAATTCACCTGTCACCTCACCAAGGAGGAACCCATTGTTAGAATCTGCGCGCCTTCTGTTTGAGGGGCCCACTAAAGAGTGACCCCTGCTTGGTTACGGGTGTTTTTTTCCTGGCCCGGCATTTTTATGGCCATGGGGCCCCAGCGGAAAAAGCGTTAGGAGGCGAGGCTGGGGTGCCTGGCCACGGTGGTTTTCAAGGAGGACGGGCGGGCGGGTGCCGGGAATCTGAAGGTCCAAAGTCCGCGATGTTCGGGTTCTTGGGGTGGACGCTTTCCGGGTAATGTTGACCCCCTTATTAATCTCTATTAATCAACCCCAGTTTATTAATAGAGGGGTGTTCCCCTCCAAAAGTGAACAATCCAGGACACCCCCATATTGATAAACAGGGGTTTATTAATAGGCGGTGTTCATTAGGGGGAGGTTAGCTTGGAAAGTCCATTGAGATCGAAGATTGCAGGCTGCTTCAGATGGCAAGGAAAGTGACCAGTGAGCTTCCCCTTGCCTTTTGGCCAGCTTCGGTAGTTCATGGCATAGAGTACACTTGCAGAATTACCACAAAGAAGTGAGGGTTAGTCACCAAGTTCCTATGTCAGTTGGGGGACGCTGTGAATATAGGAGTTCCTTGATCTTGAGGCAACCCCATATATGCGTTCCGGCGGGTTTGCTCCTATCCCCGGCCTGATCCAGCCTCAATAGTCAATTCTATTGATCAACTATTGAATCCAATAATTGGTTCGCCCTCCGTCAAGTTCCCTTTTGGGGACTTGATCCCGTGGCACTTTGTGTCACCGGGACCCCAACCAGGACAGGGGCCCTGTTTGGAAACGACGAGGGGTGGCAGGGCGGCTTCATTCCTTTCCCGCCGACTGTTTCCAAGGCTTCGGGTATGCTTCTATCTGTGGCAGTGGGCAGCAGGAGTTGGCCCCTTTCCGAGGATCAGTCGAGAGAACGTGAAGGAAACGTGTAAGAAATCCTTTGGCTTGTTGGGACTTATGCCCCGTAGCACAGTCCCGCTTTTCGGTGGGTGCATTCTGCCATCGAAATGGAATGGCTGGGGCGCGTCCCCGCAACCCGGGCTTGAGCAGCGCCCAAAAATGAGTTCTATTGGTGGAGCCAGTTCTGCTGCCGGGCCTTACGGGTTTGGTTCTATACTTGGCTGCTTCTGGGTTGGATCTTTAGACTTTAACTTTTTGGTTGAAATAAAGGTGGGTTTTCCACTAAACCCCCAAAAAGTGAAGCTCACTTTTTGCAGGGGGGTCGTTGCAGCAACCAAGTTAGAAGCCTTCGCCATCCTGGAGCCAAAAGTCAACAGGAGCTGAGCACCTCCAGCTTGCAGCTGCGGGCGCTGCGCGCCTGGCGACTTCTGGCGCGGAAGAAGCAGCGAGCCAGCTGCGCCGGGGCGCTGGTTGCGGCGCAGGCGGGGCCTTTGCTTTGGGACGGGTGAAAGGCGGGTGGCTGGAAGGTTGGGAAGGTGTTCGAGGAGAGCTGCATAAATGATGCCTAGGGGTCATTTTCGTCTCATTCTGCTTGGAAGCTGAGGCTGTTGGGGCAGCGGAATCGTTCGTGATAGTTTACCACAGTCATGGCTAAAAAGGTACCCACATTCATCATTCCATACAAGCATTGAGGCGCTCATAGCTGGCATTGCGAGAGACTTTGCCTTTCTTTCCGCTTTGCTCCCCTTTTGGTTTATCCTCATCTCCCCTGTCCAGCGGATGGGTCTCGGGCAGCCAGGGGCTTCGGCGGCTGCTGTGCCGCTGGCGCCGCGCCCTCGGCCAGCAGCAGCAGCTGGCCGAGCTCCTGTGCCGGAGGATGACGAGGCGGGAAAGAGGCGCAAGATTCGGGCAGACAGGCAGACGGGCAGACGGGCAGACGGGCAGACGGGCAGACGGGCAGACGGGCAGACGGGCAGACGCAGGCAGACGGACAGAGGCACGGACAGACGGAAGGACGGATGGACAGACAGAGCAGACAGACAGAGACGGAGGTACTCAGCCAGACAGACATCCACCTCACCTGACCTGATTCTTTGGCGGACAAGTTTTGCTGCACAATGCCTGTCTTTTCGCTTCGGCTAGCACTCACAGAAATGGAGAAAACAAACCATCTCACGCATGCAGCTGGGGCATGCTCAGCATTCAGCCTGGACGTGAGTCTTGTTTGGGTTACTGTAGACAGGAAAAAGTAAACCAACAGTTGTTTGGGGACCATTGTTCTGAGCACCCTCCCTAACATATACACATCGATGTATACATAAGGAATATTTTTTTGTTACATATATGTATAAAAGTATGCCTGCCTGCCTGCCTGCCTGCCTGCCTGCCTGCCTGCCTGCCTGCCTGCCTGCCTGCCTGCCTGCCTGCCTGCCTGCCTGCCTGCCTGCCTGCCTGCCTGCCTGCCTGCCGGCCTGCCGGCCTGCCTGCCCGCCTGCCCGCCTGCCTGCCTGTCTGCAAAAAGTCCGCGCCCTGCTGGACGCATTTTGCCCGCCCTTCTGCGAGCGCAGGCTGCTGCGCTTGGCGCTGCTGGGCTGGTCCCTGCGCACGGCGGACCAGCTGCTGCTGCGGAAGCGCTGGGATGCCCAGAAGGGATGGTTGATTTCTGCGATGCCAAGGTTGTCAGGGCAACGCACCGCACCAAAGCTACCAAAACCTCAGGGGAGGGCCGGTGAAGAGAGACACACACACACACACACAACTCTCTCCAAAGTTGCAGCCCGAATTCCAGAAATTTGATATCACAAATCACCAAGAGGAAAGTGGGATAAGGAGAGTTAGCCCTGGTGTTTTCTGAATGGATCGAACCTTACCTCACCCAGCATCAGCTCTAAAAGCCTAGATGTGGATGGGTGAGTTGGAAGGATTGGTCATTTCTCTTCTCTGTCTGTCTTCCAGGAGCAATTCTCTTTGCTTATCTCCATTAGAATCTCAATCATAGAGACATATGAATGTAGGACAAGCCTTAGAAAGCAATGAATAAATTAAGCATCCAGAAACTCATGATGATGATTGCATTGGTGGAAAGGATTTCTGCAGATATAGCGAGTCGACATTATTTGATATGTGAATGTTATCTCTCATTCATACGTCTCACCTAAGACCTCCAATAGTACAATATATAATTGGTGTTAATAATTTCTAGATTCATAGGTGACGTAGAGGTGAAGGTACGAAGACATAAACTCTGCAAAAGACTCTCTTTTCCGCGTATCCTGGCTTGGGCTTCCCCAATGTTTGGCTTCCCCTTTAAAGCAATCCCAACAAGGGCTCCCGACGTCTCCAACGAGCGGGCGGCCGATCGCCTGCGAGGTGCCAGCGCGTTGGGGCGCGCCCTCGCCAGCTCTGCCGCTTCCAGCGCCCTGCGGCGCTTGCACGACCGCGCCAGGAGGACGAATCGGCCGAATCGGCCGAATCGGGCCGGTGGATGTATCGTGACCCCGGATGAATGGGTTGGCCTTGTTTCTTAATATGGGGGGGGTGTTCCCCTCCAAGAGCGGTCAAACGTTCCCAACTAAACCCAGGGAAAAGCACCCCCATTTTGGAAGGTCACCTTTCTCGGGTTGAGAAAAAGGGGTAGTTAACAAAAACAACACAGTCTAGGGCATCCCCATTTTGGCATACGATGGGCAACCGCCGGCATAAAGTTTTGGATGGGACAGTGCAGAAAAAGGGCGCCTATTGATTCGGACATGCGGTTCTGAATCATGAATTCTGAATGCCTGTTTCGATGTTTGCTGCTCGGGCATGCGGCAGAACCGCGTGGACTGCTCGCCGGACACAGCCAGCCTGCGACTTGAGAATTTGTCAATTTTTCGCTGGCCAGGTCCTCACTCAAGGGTGCTTTCACAAAGCGCGGAGGTCCTATACCACTTCTCTCCCCTTACACAAGTCAAAAGATGGCAACCATCCCCCCTGAACATCTGGCCAAGGAAACAAATCCTGCAGCTGAACCTGAACCTAGCATCCGAACTTGTGTTGGGCCAGGGGCCGGAAGCACTTTTCGGGTTCCGTACCTTCCCAAGAGGAAGCAAACGCGGCGGGAAGATGCGCACCGAGCCGTGCGAAGCGGTCTGACGCGGTCTGAAGCGCCGAAGCGCCAGGCGTCAGGCGGTGCGGCTGGCTGCGGAGTACCTGGCCGAGCGGAGCTGCCGCGGCACGCTGTGGGAAGTCTTCGGCGCCTGGAGCGGGGAGGGGTGGGTGGCGAATGGGCAGAAGGCGGAACGAGACGTTGGTTTCCTAGGGAGCAGGAGGGCAGGAAAGGAATTGGACACCATACAACAGACCGCTTCCCCATGACCCCTGAACATATTTGTTTAACCCCATGGCATATGTCCCCCATCCCAGCTATTCACTTGAAAAGATCGGGCTTTGTGACACCGGTTTGGGGTTGAATCGCACCTGATGTCCACCAAAGCACCCAAAAGCCAGGACCTGAGCCCCCAAAAAGCCAATTCTGTTTCTCCTTGGTTCCCTTGGCATCCACTCCCTGGATGCCAGGTTTCTCCTTGGTTCACTTCGCTTTTGGCACGGGCCAAAAGCGCTTCAGGAGCGGCCGGCTGCTGACCTCCGCGCGCTGCGCCCGTGTCCTGTCCGCGCGCAGCGCGCAGTTGCTGCGGCGCAGGGCGTGGGAGGGCTGGAGGTGGTGGCGACGAAGGTGGCAGGAGCGACGAAGACGGCAGCCGAGCGGGGCGGGGGGGGGGGGGTTTTGCTTTTGCTTGGGGAGCTACCAGGAGTTCTGCACTGATGATGTCTGCAGGGGGCTAAACATATTTTTGCCTTCAGCCCTTTCAGCGTCATGTTTGAGGGCCACGTTTGGATGAGTTTCCCCTTTGTGGGGTGATGGTTTAGAGGGTCCCCCCCCCACTCTCTAGTCACTGAAAGGTTTGGGGGTTGCGGAAGACCTCTTCTCGGGCGGGGTTCCAAAGAGGCCACAAGCTGGTTTTGTGGGGCGTGTAGTGAGGTTTGCATGAATCTGCAACGTCTCATAACGATTTTGTGTACGACCAAGCCAACAAGTTTTGGCTCACTTGTCATAAGAGGCTAAAACCCCGCAGCCCGTTCAAGAAAAAAGCGTTCCCTGCCCCCATTAAAATGCTGATCTCGACCCGTGGGATTTCGTTTACATTTCTTCCGGTGGAGAAGGCGAATGGAATTCGCAGCCACAGCGGAAGTGAGCTGGAGGGGTGGTGCTGGAGAGGTTCTGGGCATCTCCAATTCTCATGGCTTCCGGATGGGGGTGCTCGCTCCCAAGGTGGCAAAAGTGGTCTGAACCCCCCCACGTTTGGTGTGGGGTTGCCAAACTTTCGGATGAACCAGGGGTTCTGCTTAGAGGGGTTCCCACTATGGAAACGCGCGTCGCCTCCAGGATCTCCAGCAGAGATCGCGGCGGGTGCAGCTTCGGAGGAGCCATGTTGACACGCGGCCGGTGTGTCCATAGGGGGACGCCGCATTTGCCTTTCGTGGGTGGTTCTACCAGCTGGCGTTTATTGATGGTTCTGGTCAGGCCTGTATAGGCCTTTTTGAGCCAGCTGAAGCAAACGTCAATTGGTTTTGGGCGCTGCTCAATTGGGAAGGGGGCATGACTTGCACGAACACGTTCTTTTGACACCTCTTAGGTTTATTTAAAGCTTAGTGTCTTTTTGCAAACCTCGTTGTCGTTGATACATGCCTAAACTCCTTGAGACGAATGTTGATGGACCTCCTGCATTTGGTCCGGGCCTTTTGCGGCCAAGAGTGACAGGGCCGTGTGCCCCCCCCCCCCCCCCCCACCCGGCCTTCCCCAAGTCAACTCAGGCAACCCAGTGGTGGTTTGAATCAGCAGTTCAGGAAACCCCCAGTAGGTCATTTGGATTGGGGGTTCGGATGTAGATTTGATTTCCGACTAAATGGGGCTTGGTTCCCACCCTTTTCGGAGGGAAGCGGCAATTTTTGGGCGGACCCCCCCTTCCCCCATTTCTCAACTGAGGCAACCCAACTTGGGTTGGCAGGGCTCCTTAACAGATACATCTAGCCCATTCGAAACATGGCTTTTTCCACCAAAATAAAGGGAAACCACCATTTACAAGGCAGTGTTCAGGTGTATAATGTAAGGATCCCTGTTTGGACTGGGGCTTTGGCAAAAATTAAGTTGGGGACCACCCTTCGGCAGGGCCGGGCGCCTCTGCGGCGCATGGCGGCGCCTCTTCGCCGCCGAGTCCCGGCGCTGGCCGCGGCTCTTCGCGGCGTCCAGCGCCCTGCGGCGGGGCCTCGGCGCCGCGGCTCCTGCCGCGGCTCCCGCCGCTCGGTCCGGCGGCCGAGGAGTTTCTCCGGGCCGTTTGGGGAACCTCCACTAGGTCCCTCCTTTCTCACCCACTTTTTTGGGGGAGGGTTCCCCTACTAAAATTGACCACGGAATGGTTACCCTTATTCTAGCCTCTCTACCGGACCATCTAGTCCAAAAGTGGGAGTTTGATTGGCAGCCACTGGTAAAAATTGCGACTTTTGAAGGGGAAACCCAGTGAAGTGTGGGAGTATAGAAGTCATGCCGCGCAAGCGAGGCCAATGCGGTTTTAAGCATGATGCCGTTGGGGTTTGGGCTTATTCTCAACGGGTCAGGGTAACCTCTTTTTTCTTCCAGTTGGTCTGAATACCGCTTCCCGAGCCTCTCTGCACACCAAAATGCGTTCTATCGTTTTTGTCGCTTGACATTATTTAAGGTTTACTCATGAGACGTGGGCCAGATTCTCGCATATTTTTGTGGGCAAAAGCAAGGTTGCCATGATCCTCATCTTTGGGCCACCCCATTCGGAAATCACAGAATGCTGCCACTCCAGCTGAGGAGTCACACCCGGCGGGGGCGAGGAGTGGAGGGTCTGGCAAAGCCTAGCTTGAGGTGCGTGCCATGGAATGGTCATGCAGCCTCCAGGGTTTTAGGTAGCGGCCAGAAACAAATGCGACTTTTGGGGCCTCGAACCCCGCCAAACAAAAAATTGGATGTAGAAGGTGTCACTCTGGGCGATTCAAACTCCGTTTTTGCCCCTGCGGAAGAGGGACTCATCCAACTTGGCCACTGACCTTTCTGCAGAGACTTTCGATGGAACCCCTGGCCAGACCCAGGCTTGCTATGTGCAGCTTTTTGCACACGAGCAGCGACCAACACGTTTTCATTGACCATTTGAGTGTGTGGTTGTACTAACCGGCACTGTGGGGACACGGCCTGCAGCTGAGAGAAGGTGATAGGCGCCACACGCAAGTACCACTAGGTGAGGTAGGACGGGGGTGACGCACCTCCCTCAATGAAATATGCATCTTCCCTCCTACATTTTCCTTTGCTGAAAAAAGAGGAAGACAAGGGGCTCCCACGTTTTTCCCTTTGAGGAGTGGATATGGCCAGAATTTCTGGTGGAATCATGGCTGCAAAAGCGAAAGGGGGGGCTCGGCCCACCCGGTAAACTGTTAGCTTCCTAGCTTGCAACCTGCTAAGAAGACGCCAGCCAAGAGAAGCTCATTGTCATGCTGTAAAGAGAAGGGGGGCATGCTGATAGAGAACGACATGAGGGACATGCCCAAGCGTTGGCAGGACATTCCATCGACATCAGCTGGTGTCTTCGCTGCTGAGTGCCTGGCAAAATGTCGCCAGTCAGCGGGAGCGCCGGGTCTCCACCGCGCAGCGCCTCGGAAACCGCGTCGAGGGCGCTCTGTCGGTGGTTTTTATTGGGGTGGTTATAAAGGGAAGCTGGGGAAACACCATTTTTGGCGTCGAATTCCTTCTCCTTTTTTTAAGCGCACCCAAATGTGACATCTGACTTCCTCGAAGCCAAAACGAGGTCGGGCGGCCACGACGGGTGTTGTTGGGGCGGTCGGTTGACCAATGGGTGGTTGCCCAAAAGTCTGGTCCGAAGCGCTGGCGCCATGCAGATTGCAAAAGCTGCAGTGCCGCCCGGACAAAGTTTTGTTCATTTCAGTCTTTCACGGTCTGTTTGGGGCGGAGGGGCATTTTCGGCACCTCCCCAAAATACTACAACCACTTTGTGCGCAAACCACCGGGCATTTGATCAGTGTGTTTTCCACAATCAATATTTGGCTGTGGCTGAAAAACATACTCAATCCCTGGTAAATGGGTAATCCAAAGACTCAAATCTGCGGTTTGCCCCAGCTGCTTAATTTTGCGCCACACCCATTTACTTAACTCTCTCCCAAAACACTTTACAACCGCTTTTTCCGGAAACCAGCGGGCATTTCTTCAGTGGCTTTTCCACAAAGGAAGGTTTGAAGCCTTTCTTCAGGACAGTTCCCCAATGTTTCTGATATTTTGTTGAGGTCTCACACGGCTCACAAGGTTCAAAAGTTTCTTGGGGATCCCGGGGTTGAAGGTTGAAGCCGAGCTCAGGAAGCGCGCGGTGGCCGAGCTCTGCCGCGCCACTCAGCGGCTCCGTGTGCTGCGCCTCTGGCGGGAGGCGCGCTGGGCCGAGGCGGCGCTGCGCGCTTATCGGCGCTCAGGCGCGCGCCCCCGGCTGCCCGGCTGCCCGGCTCGGCCGCCTCAAAGTTGGAAGCCAGAAGCTGAATGAGGCTGATCTTACTTGAGAGCAGTCTTCTTTTCCATGGCCCAAGAACAGTCAGGAGATACGGAGTGAGAACTGCCCGTAGTTACGGGCTCCTGGGCTGACTTGAGCCACTGGAAAGTGGTTGGTGGACATGAAACCCCACCTAATGATGTCCACCAGAGGGTCCCTAATAACACCAGACTCATGTCTTATTTCATTTATTTGGAAGGGGGGGCATTTTGAAAGACAAAGCCTGGGGCTGGTCCAAATTTTGACGAACTCGCAATCAGCTGGCTTCGAACGCAGCGGCGGTCGCCGCAGCAGCCGCAACAACCACCACGACAACAAAACAGAAAATCGACGGCCGCAAACCAACAACGACCTGCGCCTCGGGTGGCGCAGGAGGAGGGCGCCTGCCGGGCGCCTTCTTTCTGGCGTGGCGCAGGCAAGCGGAGAAGCGGCGCCAGGAAACCACTGCCACGGAGGAGGCGGGGCCCCTTGCAGGTCCCAAGCCCAGAAGGATCCCTTGAAACACAACCCCCAAGAGTAAGTGTCCTTTTCACTTGCTGGTGCGATAGGTAGAGGAGAAATGGGATGAACCGGTTTTGGGGATTCGAAGAAAGGAAGCCATGGATGGTCTAAATGGGGTTCCCTCGTTCCCTACCTATCGCACCAGCAAGTTGATCCCGGTCCACGTGGATCTTGGTTGTTCTAAACTGGGGCTATTGGGGTAAGCAACATGGCAACATGAATCCCCACCCAACTCATGCCCACCCCTATTTAATTTTACATCCAAATGTGAAGCAGACTTAGAACAGCAGCCTTGGCCCCGTCTGGGCCAGCATGGGGTCCCGGACCACACGTGCCATGGTAAGACTGACGCGCGAAATGGCGCGTCGGCTCCCAATGAGTAACATGGAAATGCTCTTGGCTCTGGTGGCTTTGTGCACTTCCATCTTGGTTGGCGGGAGGCTGACCGCGGCTCATGTGGAACACACGGCATAAACTAATAACTTACCAACAGGTGCCTCTGCATTTTTTGTCCACCTCGTCATGCGCTTTCACTTAAGAGCCTCTGATTCCTTCCAAACATGTAGCCAGATTCCAGAACAGGAAGCGCTGCGCAAGCCACTGCCAAAGGAAAAAACGCAGTGCGTAACAAAGTCAAACATTTCAGGGAAGCAACCTAAGACCAACGACCCCCTCCGCGCCGAACGCCGCCGGACGCCGCCGAACGCCGCGAGGCGCGGCGGCTCCTGCTCCGTGGCCGCCTGGCGGCGCCGCTAGGCCACTGGCACCGCGCCTTCTGCGGCAGAAGGCGGCTGGCGGAGCTGCGGCGTGGGGGGCGCCTGGGCCCAGCTTTGGTGTTTGGCGCGGAGGTTGGTGCCATCGGGGTTAAGACATGTTTACCAGGGTTTGGTGCTATCCAGGGTTTTGGTGCCAAGGGTTTTGGTGCTATCCATGTTCTAATGTTTACCCCAGTTTGATAAACCCCAGTTTACTTGTATTGGGATGTTCCCCTCTGTTTTTGTGATGTTTCCCTAGTAAACCCAGGGACAGCCCCCTATGCATAAGCAGGGGTTCAACATGAACTTGTGCCATTACCTAAGGTGCCGTCTTTTAGGTTTCCAGCTTTTGAACCATGCCTGGGATTTCCAAGCAATCTACCCTTGGCAAAGGGCACCGACGTGTCACCGACCGTTTTTGTCGCAGCGGCCAGCTACTGGGTCCATCTGCCAATCTTGGATCTGGGTCTGGAAGGTCCCGGGCAGACTTTAAAAGGTTCTGGCCTGGTGGGGACAATCCGGATCCTTTCGCGAAGGGCACGCGCCGATGAGAAAACCCACGGGTTGAGTCAACTTCACTGTTCCTGGCCAGTTTGTTTCTTGTTCTGCTTGATGTCTGTGATGAGAAAAGTGCAGTTTTCCTGTTGACAAGAACAAAACAACCCAGGCGGTTACCCATGCGACCGAGGCTGAGCCAAGTGTTCCGCTCTTGGCTCTTTGAAGTGAAAGCGGCTCGCCAGCTGACGGCGCCTTGGCAGGGTGCTGTTGGGGGTGATACGCATCACCCTGGCTTGCGTTTGGAGGGGCTTCCTCTGAAGAAAGGCAGCTGCTATCAAACAACTGCTTTTTTCATGTGCGCTGGACGTCTGGGGCAGGGGGGAAAAGGGGTGAGCCGTTCGGAAGGGACCCTTGTCCTTTTCTTGGATGAGTTTTTTGGGGAAGTCAAAAAGAGAAGCCAACATTTTTGGTCTCAAAGCCTTAACTTTTCTGTTGAGCCCGGTGGGTGGATTGGGTGGATCTGACCCCTGCCAGTGTGAAGTTTCCAGTGCTTCACTCCATGAGGTCCGGACTTGATGTTCTGCTTGAAAATTCCGTTTCAGTGACACGCAGGCGACCAACTGACGAAGTACAACTCGGCCTCTGAGAATTTCAGCGGAAGCAAAGCTTTGACTTTTTCTGACCAAGGGCTCCCAAGATCCAAAATCCCTCCCCCTCGAGCCCGACATGTGAGGAAGAAACCCGCTCCATCAGCAGTGAGTTTGGGGTCATCGCGCCTTTCGTCCCAAGGCCCTGTTGGCCCACCGGGCCGTCCTCGAGGATGATCGCGCCTGGGAAATCGGGAGATCTGGGAAATTTCGGGCGGCCGGCGGAGTCCGCAGGCTTCGAGGGAGAGATATGGGCCACTGAAAAAGCAAGAACCAGCCGCTCTCTCCAGCTGACTGGTAGTTCTTTGAATGTCCTTTCAGGCGACCTGTCCCACCCGCTGGGGACTGTGGCGTTTGCAGTCTGAAGGGGTTCTCGAAATTGCGTGACTTTCGCAGACCCAGCTCCTTGAGAATGGGTGTGTGCTGTTTTTGGGTACCACCTTGGCTGGTTTGAAAGGACCCTGGACCCAGAGATGCTCGACTCAGCTCAGGGCCTGTTTGGGGCGCAACAAGGGGTTTTGCCTGGATGCAAAAAGACGACAGCTCAGGCTGTGGTACTCCTGGACGGGCCAGAGAATCTCAAGTCTAGGAAATCCAACCTGCCGGCACAGAGCGTGTTCCTTACTTAAGGCGCCTCCCTTTCTTGCTGGTGCTGAGTGACTGACCTTCCAGGTGTTGGGAATGAACCTAGATCCCCTTCAAGGAAACCATAGATGGTTTCTGGGATTCCCTCATCGCCTGAGAACCAGCAAGCTTTGAGGCGGCCTTGCCCTTGTTTTACAAACTGAGCAAACGGGGGCTCGAAGTTTCGGGCTCTTTCTTGCCGACGCGGAAGCTGAGGAGCAAGCCTTTGGCGTGTTTATTCCCCGTCCTCTTTCGTCTTTTTTCTTTCTTCTTTTGGATGTCGGGGTCGCAAACACCCCTAACTTGGAGAATGGGCTCAAGTGGTACGGGGAGAGGTTCCGAGATTTTGGGAGGTTCCGTCATGGGGCTGTGGGGAAAGTTGTTGGTCTTGTTGTTTTCGGGTTCTTTGTGTTTTGGGGATTGCAAACCTTTGAGCCAGGTTCAAAGGTCGCAAGGTTCAAAGGTCGAAGTTTCTGAAGACGACCTGTCGGTGATCATTGTTGGTCAGATCTGGCCCCGCAAGGTTCAAGTTGTCAAGGTCGGACTGTGGACTCTTGTTGCCTGGTCCTCTGTCCAAGTGAGTCCTTTTTTAGGGAGGCGCCAAAAACCCACGCGCCCCCGCCGCCGAGGAATGCTCCGGCGGTGCGTGGCGGAGTGGCACCGGGAAGGGCGCAACGGGGTGCTTCGGCCGAGTTTTTTTTTGGGGGGTTAACACCCCTACACACAGTGGTTTTAGTTTTGGCTTTCCTTTAAAGACCACAAAACAGGGGCTAGCCGGAAAAAAGGCAGAATTGGGTCACTGATCTTGTGTTTTGTTTGGGTTCTCTTACTCAGTTGCCCAAAGCCGACTTTGATCTTCCATGACCCCGAAAGATGCAGCTTTTATTTCCAGGCCCGTTGGCCAAAAAAACACGGACGCCCCGGAATGAGGACGTGGAAGGTCCAAAGCCAAAAACAACATAGGGGGGATGAAATTTATCCATGCCTTGTTGCTTGTCCGGGCCTCATATATAGGGAGCCCGGCCAATTCACATGTGCGTGCTCCAATAGATAGCTCATTGATACAAGAGCCGACGGGAGATGAAGGTCAGTCGGTGCGAGGCGATCTTCGCCAAAGGGCCGTTTTGTTCTCCGCGGAAACCAGCCCAAGACATTCCGCAGTTCGGTGACTGGTGGGGCGGTTTTAGGTCAAAAGGACCAAATTAACTAAAAGTAGTGCCCGGCTCATACGAGCGGACAAGTACTAGAGCTTCATTTTGGGGACGACTTGGGGCCCCAAAAGCCAAGGGCAGTGTGTCAAGCCCCTGGTTGTTGACCTCCTTTGTCCCATTGCACCTTCAACGGTGCATTGAATATGGCGCGTCGGTGATGGGGGTCTTAGGAATATTTGGGCCAGTCAAAAAACCACCCATATGGCTGCTGCTTTAGAGGCTCCCTTGTTGTAAAAGCCTGCGGTTTTGGGATTCCTTGAGGGAAGCCGGTCAACCCTGTAAATTTCCTTGGGACTTCTGAGTGGGTTACAAATCCTGGGTTGCCAACAACTTAGCTTGGCCGAACACCCAAGTAGCAACTGGCCTGTTCACTTCCATTGGCCGAAAGCCTGTGGTTTTGAATTTCCTGGAGGGAAGCCGGTGACAACACCCTCTAAAAAGCGGCCTGTTCGCTTCCATTGCAGGCCCCAGCAGGGCGCCAACCCGCACCTTGGCACCTTGCGCCTTGAGGCCGCCCTGCGCTTGGTCCGCGGCAAGCGCGGGGCGCTGTGGAAGGCGGTTTTGCTCGAGGGGCGCGGGGCCTCAAGGGCTGTCTCATTCTGAGACAGACCCGCATGTGGTTAAACAAAAAAAACACCTTGCAACCTAGAGTGTGTGAAAAGGTTGTGAAAACAATAGGTGTTGTAACATGTTTGAATTGGGGTTTGGCAAAGGCAGCCGTGCCGTTGATGGTTGATTTTCCCTTAAAAGAGGCAGGGGATGGACAATTGTTGATTTTGTTTAAAGAACCGCAGCTTAGTGCCTGTTCGCGGAGAAATCCAGCAGGGCAAACCATAGGGCAACTCATAGCGAGCCGTGATTTTTTTTTGAGGGTTCAGTTATGTCTGGTTCCAAGCCACCAGCCAGAACCAATCAGAGGGGGGGCTATTCAACGAGGGACCCGCCACCTTCAGAGTGTGCGTCGGGTTCGAGAAACAATTTGAAGCGCAAGCTGAAACATTCGTGGTCTCACGGCCTTTTTGACAGGTTTTTCAAGCTCAAAATGGTCCTCCCATTCTGCCAAACCTTTTGTCTTCAGCGGAGCCTCCTTGAATTGGGGGCCTCTTGGAGGTTGATTGCTTTGCAACTTGTGACCCCCTAAAGGGTTGCAAGGCTTGTTACAGGGCTTAAAGGATACGGATCTAGGCCAGACGGTTTTTAAATGTATCGCTCAAAGAAACTGTTGCCCTGTTCTCTGGCTTTTCCTTGGCACTTTATTTGGGAGGAATGTTTGTGACAGGTTTCTTGGCCTGTAACGTAAGCTGAAATTATCCCCTCAAAGGATGCCACGGTTGGATTGCCCGGCTCGGGGTCAATCTGCCTCATTCTTGAGTAGACCAGTGTTCAATCAACCTCCTTTTGGTATCGTTCATTATTGGTGAACACGGCCTGCCTTTTGCTCGCGTTGAACCATCAGGTAGCCCTTGATTCGTGGTTTTGATTGTTGGTTTGAGCAAGGCCCCACATGTCGCAGAGATGTTTGGTTCCCACCTGGGTGTTCGGCCAAGTTCATGAGTCCCAAGCGACATTTTGAAATTAATTCAGACAGCCCAAAGGACAAGCCAAAAAGAAAGCCCAAAGGACAAGCCAAAGGACAAGCCAAAGGACGAGCCAAAGGACAAGCCAAAAAGACAGCCCAAAGGACAGGCCAAAAGGAAAGCCAAAAGGACAAGCCAAAGGACAAGCCAAAGGACAAGCCAAAAAGACAGCCAAGCCAAAGAAAAAGCCAAAAAGACAGCCCAAAGGACAAGCCAAAGAGAAAGCCCAAAGGACTACCCAAAGGACAACCCAAAAACAAACCCCAAACGACAACCCAAAGGACAACCCAAAAAGAAAGTTCAAAGGACAAGCCAAAGGACGAGCCAAAAGACAAGCCACAAAGACAGCCTAAAGGACAGGCCAAAAGGACAGCCAAAAGGAAAGCCAAAAGGACAAGCCAAAGGACAAGCCAAAGGACAGCCCAAACAGGAAGCCAAAGGACAAGCCAAAGGACAAGCCGAAAAGACAGCCCAAAGGACAAGCCAAAGAGAAAGCCCAAAGGACTACCCAAAGGACAACCCAAAAACAAAGCCCAAACGACAACCCAAAGGACAACCCAAAAAGAAAGCTCAAAGGACAACCCAAAGGACAAGCCAAAAAGAAAGCCCAAAGGACAACCCAAAGGACAACCCAAAAAGAAAACTCAAAGGACAACCCAAAAAGAAAGCTCAAAGGACAACCCAAAGGACAACCCAAAAAGAAAGCCCAAAGGACAAGCCAAAAGGAAAGCCCAAAGGACAACCCAAAGGAAGTCAAGAAATAACGACCCCTTAGCCCCCAAAGGCATGGTAACTTGCCTAGTTGTGTGGTCACTGATGTGAGGTTTGCATGAGGCCACTTTGGTTTAGGTTGAGGGTTGCATGTCATGACAGACTTGTCGAACGGCAAACGCCGTTTGGCTCAAGCGCTCACTGAAAAAGGGCGCTGAGTGCGGAACTGGAGCTTAGGAACAACCCCCTGAACCGCTGAGGGATTAACCACGGTCAATCCACCTCTTTTTGTTCAGGGCGCAGCCTTCGGCGCGCGTTTGGGGTTTCTTGCTCTTTTGATTGGTTATCAGCCGTATAGCCTTTCTTTCGGGATTATCTAGGCCCTCCCTCAGCGGTTCCCCCATAAGGGGGCGCGCATGGCCGTCGAGGAAGAGTACCACAAGCGTGGAACTCGAGGAGGAGCCGCAAACAAGAAGCGAGTGTGGTGGGAGCTCCAGGAGGACGTGATCGACGAGGTCGAGCAGCGTTTTGGGTTTACACCACCCAAGCTGCAGTGGGAACCGGGGTCAGAGGTGCAGCTTGCTGCCCTTCGGGCCTGGAACCGGGACGTCACCGAGCAGCGCTGGGAGGAGCTTCACAGGTGGCATCAGCCTACGGCCCTTCGCATCCGGGCAATCCGCGAAGAAGAACGAAGGGCCGCAGCCACTGGCGCGGCAGGTGCAAATCCAGTGCCTGCCACTCCCTCGTCTCCGACCCCATCCACACCGCCTCAGCAGCAGCAGGCGGCGCAGCCTTCCGTGGCCCAGCAGGCTTCACCTGCTGAGGCTTGGTTGTCTGCTCCGGCTTTGCCCACAGCGAGGACCGCAGCCCACGGCGCGGTGGCTGGTACAGCTCCGAGGAGAAGGACATCTACGACCTCCACACGGTCAGTGTCAAGGCAAGTTCTACGAGCAGTTTATTCCCAAGTGCCCATCGTGCTTAGGTCTCGCTCTCGGTCAAGAACTCCGACACCGATCCAGGAGGCCGCAGCCCTCGGCGCGGCAGGCGAGTCGAGCAGTCGGGAGCCTTCGGGAACCCGCAGAACTCCTCGCCCGACGACCAGTCGATCCTCGCGAGGCAGATCGAGGAGTGTGCCATCAAGGACCTCGCCAACCGACAGGCCGATCGTGCTGGCGCCAAGGAGCTCGGCCTATCCGACGGTCCGCATCGACCGGACCGGCACGTGGACACTGCAGAGGGAGCAGCCCTCTGGCGCTCCACGGGCATTTGCAGGTCGAGCCCGATCACGTTTGCCGCAGTTCAGTGATCCTCACGAGCTGCCAACGGACGTGTGGCTCCGCCCCGAGGCCTACGGGGAAAGGTCCAGTTCCTCGACCCCAAACTACGGGAACGCGGAGGTTTACCATCTGGCAGACTACTCCGACGGGGATACAGCGCACAACACCGAAGATTTGCTTTCAGGCAGAGCAGCATTCCGGGCGGGTGGGGTATACGAAGCACCGTTTCATAGACTTACATCGCCGGCCCCACCTCCGGCCCCTGCTACGAAAGCCACAGCAAAGTGCGGGACGCGGCCAGCGGCGCGGGGAACAGTTGGAGCATTTTTGGCAAGCAGTCGCGGACGTGTTTTGAGCAAAGCAAGATCTTCTTCGCCCCCACGCTCAGCAGCACCGCCAGCCAGAAAGGCCTCTGTCCCTGCAAGCAGCCGGCCTGGCCCACACATCAGGTACAAGCAGCCGCCGGCATCGTTGAGGTTGCCACCAAGAGGGCAGGGAGCAGCCTTTGGCGCTCCAGACCCACCTTGGCGACAACCGCCAAAGCGAGAGCCACCGCAGCCTCCTCCACCAAGGCGAGAAAGCCACGGGATCCCAGATCCCCCACCTCGGACGCCCCTCGCGGACCGGAAGACGCTCAACATCGTCCTGGACTGGCACGGGGTGCTCGACGTGAACATCCGCTCTGGGGGAAGGCTTCACCCACAGATCGTGGACGGATTGATTCGTCTACAGACAGCTCACGGTCCATTCAATTGGATTATTTGCAGCTATTGTGGGGTCGAGCGCGAACGAACTACGGCACCGGAGATCGCCACAGCAAGGGTACACTTGGCTTACAAGGGCATCTACGTGGGTACAACGCAGTTCACGCGCTCCAGGGTTGGCGTTGCTGGCAAAGCAAACCTATTGCACGGTTGGGCAGCACACATCCTTGTGGACGACAACGCCACAATCTGTCGTGAGGCGCGACTTACAGGCGCGCACGCCTTTCGGGCGTACCCCAGCCAGGGGGTGCAGGGGACTCTGGACGCGTTGATTGCCATTGAGCAGTGGTTGGATCAAGCCGACCGAGCGAACATTCAGCCTGCCCGTGCACTCACTGCCGCTGAGCTCCTTGAGGAGGTCCGCAGGTAGCAAACCACCTGGTGCTCACGACAAGGGTGCAGCCGTTGGCGCACCTAGGATATTTTTCCCATCCTGTGCAGGGAGCAGCCGTTGGCGCTCCGAAGAACTGTGGCGCAAAGACGCACGAAGTCACACACATTTCCAATCGCACACAACTGCATTGGTGAGCCTTCACATTTGCATCCAAATTGCAAACAAAAGTTTAGGTTCAAAGGAGATTCCCCATTATCAATTAGTGAGGTATATCAATCCTTGTGTGACTGAGTGCGTTGCTGCATCATTCAATAATCTACGTTGAGTGTAGCCGTAAGTGCACATCTCATAATCCCACCAGGCACAAATCACCGGCCTTGGAGAGTGCTGCCTTTGGCGCACTGACTTGGTTCGCGTGTGCAGGAAAAGCTATCGCATCCGTGCGGCTCAGGCATGAATCCCTCTGGCATTACACCCCCATCCGAAGATAGGTCTAGATCCTCACATGGCACAGACTATGATGACCCAGACCTTGCGGGTGCAATGGTGCCAGCCATGTCTGTTGTTAGGCATAACCCTAATAGCCCTGCACCAGATTCCGATGCAACCCCTGTTAGGCGCATGTTCGTTTCAGAACCATCCTCATCAGAGCCGGCTGGAACGCCCGATCCAACCCGAACCTCCCAGCTGCTGCATTTGTTGCGGGTGCCGCCGTTCAACGTGCCCACCATGCTTCCGATGTCGCGCTTCAGGCCGCTGAACATGCACAGCAACAGCAACTGCTGGCTGAGCAGGCCCGAAGGGAGGCGGGGGAACTCCGGGAAGCCGCCCAACAAAGGGAAGGGTTGTTTAGGCATCAGGCAATGAACCTTGTAACCCAAGCTCAACAGGCCGTGAATTATGCACGTGA